TTGTGAGCTTACTTTGCCCAGCCATTATCTCTGCTTGGCGATCCTTCGTCGCTGGATTCACAGTCACTTATCAGAAACAGAGAAATTAGGTCATGGTCCATTCGCTCCCGCCTCTAGAGAGAAAAATCATTCCTCTTCGAAATCAGTCGACACCAGCAGCTGCGCGGAGAGTCAAGCGCCACAGGTCTCGATGGATGGTGGATACATCCGTCTACACATACGCGTATATGTACACGCAAAACATTCGAATCCTTTCCCACGCCTCCACTCAAACCATGTGGACCTGAAAATCTTGGGGGGGGCCATGGCCCCTTGGCCCCCCCCTCGCGCACGCCACTGCCTACAACCAAGAATACTGCGGCTCACGCGACGTCGGCCGGTTACTTCCTTGTCACTCACAATAAGAGTCCCGTCCGGGTCCAGAGTCGACTTCGCAAAAGCGAGAAATAGTCTTTCGTAAACGCTCCCCGTTCCTCCAGTTATCGAGACTGCGCGCGCTCAAACCTCCAGTAGTTTCGGATGATCTATCGATCCATCTCCATCGAATGAAACCTTGAAGGATTACGACGGTCCGCGTGGATTCTGTTCTTGAACTCAACGCATACGTGGGTCCGAAGTGCGATTCGCTCGGATCGCTCTGTTTCCCTGTATCGGTGATGGCTTTTGTTCTAAACGCATGAGCTAAGGACGTCTAATGTAATTTTAGAAGATTATAAATGGAAACTGCGGCGCAGGTAATGTAGCTTGAATGTGGTCTCTGCAGTCTATCTAAGGGACATTGTATGCGCTTTATAAAATCTCTGGCATCGTTCCAACTAAACTCCTATCCCTAGCAGCTGCTGTTCCCTCAGCTGCCGCTAGTCTGCGTGCTTCCGCCATTCCTCAGCAGTTTCTCGCTACCTAAATCCGTCGAGTACGTGATGCTCCGATGTTGCTGTCTGCAGTTCGGTCCTGAGAGCATGAATCTCCGTTAGCAAGCATTAGTGGCCCATGGATATTGGTTGGATAGTGCGGCGGTAGCGTGGCTTCCGTTAGACAATGATGCGGTTCTCCTCGATTCATCTGCTTCCCGGTGGTTCTTATGCTTTCCATTCTAATGCCACTGGCTATTGATGAGAAGCTAAGCATTCTGACGAGAGATGCAGCCCGTCCCTCTCTATGCGCCTCATTCTTCGGAAGAAGACTTCCGCCAGCGGTGAATAATCTCAGGCCTAAAACCTCTTTATTCCTCACGTGGGAAGAAAATTGCATTCGTAAGTTTTTCTGGCATCCTGAGGAGCTCGCATAGGAGCTCAGGAGACGATCCCCGAGTGGACAGCATCGGAACTATAGCGTCGCATTGAAATCGAGTAAATCGCATCCCGCTCGCGCTTTGTCTTGTTTTTGGACGGGGTCTGCTTCCACGCATCCTGCTGGCTGGTGCTGTTCGAGCTCTTGCTCCTCGTTGTAGTTGTCGTCTTGATCTCAGTCGTAAAAGTTGGATTGGGGTTCGCTGCCCCAACCTGTACCGGATCGCTTGACAACTTCTTCCTTAAACGCTAAACGCAACGCTGCCAACCAATTCATATAGCGAAACACGGGCAACGAGCCAGTGCTCATAAATGGAATCGTTCAATCGCAGGAGACCTCTTCGATATGCTACTTCCGATGCTTTCGATATACCAGGAGTATGTGCGCAATCATCACTACTCTCTGCAAGTGCTCGCTGAATGTAAACAGCGAGACAAGTTTGCTAACATTCTACAGAGACTCGAAGAGAAAACGGTTCTCCAAGGTCGAACTTTGGAGACCTTCTTGACCTACCCAATGCACCAGGTGAGTTTCAGGATATTTAGAAACGGAGAATGAATATATTTCGTGCGATAGAAAATTGAGATAGCGCTGCGGCTCGCAATATCAAGTCTCCCCGGCAGTATCTTACGTCTTTTTCTCCCGGTGATGATCATCGTTGATATCGAGGTACTTATATGTACGTAAGTACATGGAGAAAGTCGCGACGTTGTATTGCTCCTAATTCGCTCCGAGCAATGATGATTTCATTCGTCTCGGAAGATATTCCATGCGGCTTTTGATTTTTATGACTCGGCCGCGGCCGGACTCCATGAATACGAAACTGTCAGTACAGAAACAATTCAGCGGAAAGCCATCGCGCGATCGTTCAAATGCCGCGATTCAGGTCATGAAAGGGTATTATACACGCAAGAATGCGCAGACGGTTGTAAGAGCGCCGGGGAGGAGAAGGCTGTGAAAAGGTACCACAATGACCTTTCAAGTCAACTCGTCCCGATCTATGTGTGCGACGCTTGACTGGCTGCGGGCCCTTTGTGCGGGCTATTTCCTTTTTTTCTCAGCTCCGTCTCCCTGCCAGCTGCTCGATTCCATTCGAACCCCATGCAAAATACCCCCGTTGAGTGTCTTATTGAAAGTCGATCTCCGCGCGCTTCTTGCCGCCAGCGAGGCGGACTCGCAGTGGCGGCACTGTCTTTTTCCGCTGCTCTCCTCCTTTTCCTTTTTCGCTATTGGCATCGAACGGCTGGATAAGGCCACCACCTGCTCGGCGTGCCGTCCGCGTCGGGCCAAAGTGGTTGAACCAAACGTTGTCCATTCGCGCTACACAACGCGGAAGTGGACGAACAAAACAGTAGTGGGGGAAAAGGAGATAATACGTTTCTAAGTTTTGTTCTTGAACCGTTCTCCATCGGGAGACTCGACCGCTGGCGCGGAAAACGCTCTCGGGCCCCTAGTGCGGTTACTAAAAGCAACCGGGGAAGAAGAACAGGAAGCGATGTGAACGCGCAAGACTTAGAAACTGTTTTGACAAGAGAAAGAGAGATTGCAGACCCGGCGAAGGGGGAGACGACGAGAAGAAGGAAAAACGATGAGGAGGCTCCGTTGGAACTTCCGCAGGCCGCCGCAGGGGGATGGATGTCCGTCGGCTCTCATTTTCAAGGAGAGCACGCTCGGCCCCGTGAACTTCGGTTGACTCCATCTCAGCCGAGATTGTCGAGGAATATCCGACGTTCCGATGATCCGTTGATGGATTTCGGAGGCCAAAAGGATTCGCTGCTCCTCTTTCATCCGCGGAGATCCTTTTTGCCTCGACTCGGGCTGAGGCTCTCGGTGTTCAATCAAATCAAGAAGAGGAGAGCATCAATATCTCTACGGTCCGCTGTCGAATGAGTGCTTTTTGAGCTAGTGCCGGAGGACACTGCAATTTCGACTGCCTCTCTGTGGATGGAATCAGAGATAGTGGGGGAAACTCGGCCGCTGAGCAGCTGCAGGACGATGACAAGTATTGGATGTTTCAGCTTGTTCCACCGGGGGACAATCTCTGCCGTTGACTCGGCTGCAGACGATAAAAGATTCATTCGTGGAAATAATTTCCCGTTCGAATCGTCCCGCGTCCAGCACCAATTGTGTCTGCTCGACAGTTGCTTTCGTCATTGAGAGCGGAGGATGGAGATCGTCCGAATTCGACGATGGAAAACTATTTCCAATGTCGCCTCGGTCGCGGGACCCGCGCTTCATTACTTTCGAGCTTCGCGCTCTCTCTCTCCACGCAGAAATCATGAAAGTCTCTCCGGCAATTTGCGAACACGAGCGTGTGCGAGTCCCCACCATTACGGAGCGAATTTTGATAGAACCCCGCGTAGCCGGGCCAGATCTCATTCCGAAAAGGAGAAACAGATTCTGATCCTGCCCCGAGGAGTTCAACCGTCACGCACGAAGTATTCCGCCTCCGCGTACATGTTCCAGGGTCAAGCCCTTGAGCGAAAGCAATGCGTTTGAAGTTTCGGAATTCTCCAAAGATCTCTGAGCCTAAAACTCGGAGTAGCTCCTCGGGCAGGTCTTTCGGAGCCGCATTCGAGCTCTGTGAACGAGAAGAATATTGTATAATAGAACAAGCTACAACATATCCGCCGAGACGCACTGCGGGTGTCGGGCGGGGCATGTGACACCCACGAGGTATCTATCTATCCATCTATCTACCTACCGACCAAAGGACCAACCCGCGACGTCGACGACAGGGGACGTCGATGCTCGGTGAGACTTTAAGGTGAGACTCTGAGCCGAAACAGGCTAAGGTCAATCTCCGGTATAAGCGAGGGAACTGTGGAAGATAATTGATTTGACCCCGGGCAGAGTGAAATTAATCTTCTTTGTGCGGGGTCGCTCGTTCGTTCCCCTGTTTCTTCCACTCACTCACTCGACCGGAGGAAGAGTCTCTGTATAACCGGTCGTAGTCCGCTCGCTCGTTCGTTGGCTAGCTAGCTAGCTAGCTAGCTGACTGAATTGTGGTAACTTGCCGAGCGCAAAGCCACGAATACACTCAAGCAAATCCGGAGAGGTCCAAGACCGAGACGGGAGGAGCGGAGCTGAATCCGGGGAAGAATGTGAAGAGAACAGCCCTCACTTCAGTATTGGCCTCATCGCTGTCAGGAAATGCAGTTGAAATTTCGCTGCTCTTGGAAAATCCCCTTAGCAACTGTCCCACGGGATGAGGTCTGGCTGCGACCGAGAACGTGGCTCGAATGAGTAACTTGAGCAAAGGTCGAAAATGAAGGTATGAGTGGTTTGATGGTGGGGCAGCGGCTGAGCTCGGCTTGAAGAGACCGGAGGTCGGCCGGGAGAGTACGATCAAAGGATCTTTCATCTTGCCTTAGCTTTCGAACTTTGTGCCCACCGCAGAAGCAGCAGCAGCAGCAAACTCATTTCCCTTAGCCTTATTTCTCTCTGAGACTTCTCTCTTATCGATTCTCTGCGACCAGGGTCGAGCCAACGTCCGTCCCGTCGTCGGTCCGCTCGTTACCGCCACCGATCTGGATCCAATGAAGCTCAGTTCGCGAGCAACGTCATACCTCGAGAAGCAAAGCGATTCGGCCTATTCGCTCCCGAGCCCAACAAGTTTTGCTCTCGACAGAGGAATGCAGGAATTACAAGCCCTACTTCCAAAGAAACGGAATAAATTTCTCCTCGAAAGGAAGCGATCGATATCCTAGGCCACAGTCATGTCCTCAAGGAACTTCTCGCCTAGCGGACGGAAATCGGGATATCCCGAGACGATCAGGGGCTCGTTCAAGATCCACCAAACGGGACCGAACCGGAACGCCTCGTTCGAAGACTGACTTAGATGAGGTTCATTCCGGAGTTGAGATTTTCGATCTCCCTCGCCGTGGAGGAATTCGGAATCAACAAAATTTTTCTTGGGTTAAGAACTGATAAAATAGATATGGGTAAATCGGCTCAAAGCGATCGTAGATGGAGTCAAACATCTATAAGGCTCGTGTTGATTCACAGGTGCCGCGTTACATCATCACGTTGCATGAGCTGCTCGCGCATACCCCGCACAATCACGTGGAGCGGCGCAGCCTCGAAAATGCTCGCGCCAAACTCGAAGAACTCTCAAGGGTGAGTCTCAAAACGGAATCCAAACCTCACTTGAAACCCGGGACGTCTAGTAGATTTCGAACTGTTCATTGCTTACTGGGCTCCACGAGTCGAGAAGAGCCATTCCCAGTGCCAGCCCGCGCCATCCGTCGGGCTCGCTCCATGAGCTTGAAGTATGTACCTAATTAATAGGGAACCACAATGGAGTTCATCCGCAATGCCGCCGCATGGAGGCTTAAATTATTCGAACCAGCGATTTCGATTCACTCACAGTAGAACGGCTGGGCTGCCCGGGTATTTAGAGGCCGCAGTTCGATCCGATCACCGATTCTGAGGTGAATCCCTCTCTATATCATACTGATTACTAGCTCAGACCGGGGCTACACTGTGATCAGGCTCCGCTCGAAGCTGGGGAAAACCAACCAACCATCCGACCTAGCTCTGAATAGACATGGTCACGTCTGAAGTCAAGTCGACCGTCAATCTGTCGTGTTGTGTCGCAGAACTGGTATAGCTCCGCCCTCGGCGGGGCTTTTTCATCGCCGTCGTTGTCGTGAAAGCCTCACCTAGGCTTCTCGGACCTCGCTGCCTGTTCATACACCTAGACAAAAGCGAAGACCTCCGAACTAAAAAGGTACAGAGAGGAAATTAGGAGACCGTCAGCCAGTATCCAGAGAGAGCGGAGATGAGCAAAAGCGAGCATGTCATGACACGGACAGCGAATGCCTGTCAGGCGCAATGATCCTGCCCACGGTGACAATGATTCGTCCGCCCGTGCGTCCGACTTCGCCATCATCGTGACCTTCATCGTTATTGGTCTTCCGTGCACACCACACTAAGGATAAGCGGGCTTTCCCCCCCTGTTGCTGTCGTCTTCCATGGGCTTATGTGTGTTGTTGGAGTCATCCGCGTAAGAGCGGCCATTCACCTGCTGGAGCGAGTTCGTTTCTTAATTCGGATCCGAGGGCGAAAGAATCCTCAGATACGAAGTCCTGCTTTGCCTCGTAACCGCGAACAGTCGGGGAATGCGCGAAAGGAACTCCTGCCCGTATAAGGCTCCACGAAGTTCTTCCTCACCTCGAGTGCCTCTACGTAGTAGGTGTAGGTACGATATAGGACGATAGTACAATCGATTACCCGTCGCGTCGGAGAAACGGATTTCCACCTGTCCATATACAACAGCTTCTTGTTTGGCAAGCAGGAAGAATACGAGCCGCCTTTGTTGCTAGAGCTTCGACGGCGCGGCGGAGGCGTGTGCGGCACGTTACCTACCGGGTGGCCTATAAAGCACATGGCCGCGGCCACGACCGGCGGGTACTGCCACTACCGATGCGCAAGTTACGTACTGAAATAGCAGACAAGCTCGCCGGCAGCGAGTAGGTTGCCGACGGTGACGATAACACGGAGAGACGTTGATCAGAATTAATGAACGGACGGACGGACACCCAGCATAGAGAAACGGAGCCATTGGATTGCATCAACTCGCAGGTCAATCTCGAATAGAAAACCTATCCCGGAGACCTCAGACGTCATTGTCCGGGTACGAGCGACTCGTTCGGAAGACTCGACCGAATCTCAATGAAGTTTTCGCATACTGACGCGTCTCATCCTGGAGGAGAGCTAAGACCTCGACGTGGAATTACTCAATGGGTTGACTTTGATGTCGCAAGTTTCGCCGCGGAACGCACGGTCGCCTGGCTAACGGGTGCTGGCGGGCCGGTCGGCAAGCGCCGAAAAACACTACGAGAAGATAAGAGTTCGTTGATCAGCGCAGACTCGGCCGGTGAAGCCAACGGGCCCAAGTCGAAGCAGCGCTGCAGCAATTAGAGACTCATTATAGCTGCCGGTCCGACGTCGTCGTACCACGAAAAAAGATTCTGCTGTTAGCACGGCTGTCCTCTGGCTGAATAAGTTTCCGTCTTCCTCCACGGCCCACGAAGCCACCGTCGTAGACGACGACGACGGCGACGACAACGACTACGGCGTCGACGGCGCGGCGATGGCAACGGCAACAACTGTAGGAAACCGACGACGGCCCACGGGTGAATCCACGTCTATGGAACGAGCGGGGAGACAACGAGAAAACGAGCGAGCGAGCGACGAAACGAGGAATCATGCCGACAAAGTTCATCTAACGAGCTAAACGAAGTAATCGCTAATTAGCTTCCGTTTGTTTCGCGAGCCCAAATCCGCCACCGCCAAACTCGACTCTCGACAAGAGATTTTCCTCCGTAGCTGCACTTCAGGGCTCGGAAAGTTCTTTCGAACGTCTGCTTACTCCAGACGCCGCTGCGTTCATCACAGACGCGGTATGCGGCTTCGGCCGTCTTCCACAGACTCAGGAATCATCTACAGTTCTCGGAACCATGAAACTCGGGGAGGCTCTGATCGATCGTGCGACGAGACCTCGACGACAGTGTTGATGCAGGATCGTCGTGTCTGAAAGTGGTGCGACGCGACGCCGACGTCGGTCGCTGGGCGTTCGAGCAATCTCACGTATACGTGCGACTTATTCCCTCGGCGGACAGTTATTCCGTGGGAAAGCGTTGCGCGAAAACCCGTTCCTGTCGCGGGATCCCTATCTTCCTATCTGTTGCAGTGAGCTAATGTAGTCATGGGCGGGAGGGTCTCGCAGAATTTATTCACTCAGGTAGGAGGGGAATAAGCGAAAAAAATGCAAATAATCTTCAAGTAGGAAACTCACTGAAGCATGGCAGAAGACAGGATCGACTTAGACGAGCAAACGAATGGCGAAAAGAACGACGGAACGAGCTGGCTGCCGACACGACGAAGGCTCGGACTCAACTTGTGCTGGGAACTGGCAATAGATTGATTCAAGGAGGATTTTCATGCTCGAGCTCGGAAATCAGCGAGCGGATTATTCTTGATCGGAATACGTACCACAGAACACCGAGAGCTCTGCTCCGTTCGCAGGCCGACCTCGACGGGAACGCTGCGAGTGCGGGACCACGGTGAAAGAGCGAGCGGGAAACTCCACTAGTTGGACGACTCGGGGAGGTCTGGACGGACCACAGCGAAGATCGATAAATCAATCTCCCTTTCTATCTATTTACCATCAGTCCGATGGCGAGTGTCTCAATCGGCCCCACCAGCTGCTTTGAACGGCGGATTTGTGTTTGTTAGCGGTGCGGTGAGGTAACCATGCAAGTGATTCGAAAGAGTTCACACAGCCGCGAGAATCACCGATAATCACCGCTTAGTCATCTGCTCGCGGTGGAGCAACGTTGAGCAGTTACGTTGAGGCCCGCTACCTTCATGGTAGAGAAGCTCCCATCGTGGGGTCCTTATTTATTCACGGGAGCCAGAAGATTCGCAAATGACTGGCCTGAGCCTGCTCGGAATGCGCTTAGTTTAAGCTCGTTTGGCGTGAGCTCAACATGCGCCGTTTCTGGGAGAGGCTTACGACCCTCAGTAACCTCGGATTGCTCGCGGAGAAGCTGAGATATTGCGAAACTCTGAGCCAGACTTGCGGCCCGACCTGCGCCCCGAATGCGATCCCTCGGAGTTGGCGCTTTGCGCCTCAGGTTCTTCAATTGTTTGACGGATGATTTCCATAGATAGATACACACGGTCATCTGGAATGTGTGATGGGAGGATTCATTGACCCTCTGTGAGTCAGAGTTTGAGAAAGAATCAAAAATTCAATGATTCACTTCGGAGCAAGTCTCGGTTCCTGAGAGGGGTCGACGCCGGTTTTATGGTTCCGGGCGCGTACGAGAGCGGCCAAGCCTCGGATTCTCAGTTCCTGAAGGAACCTAGTCTAAAAGGCTACTGTTTTCGTTCACAGCAAATGCACGATGAAGTTAGCGAGACCGAGAACATCCGGAAGAATCTCGCAATAGAGAGAATGATCATCGGAGGATGCGATATTCTCCTCGACGTTAACCAGGTAAGCTGATCTCGAAATACGGCTCGGAGTCGAGCACCTTATCCTATTCTTTCTCTCTTACAAGTTTAAATCATGCGAGGCATTGAGGCTCGAGTGCTGGGTTGATTTCAAGATAGCAGGGAACACGCGGACCGAAACACGCTCGGCGATTCTATTGGAATCGCCTCTCTCCCGATGCGCGGGGAGTCCTATCCTGTATCCACTCCAGCGGTTTTCACTGCCCAGACCATCCCTTCTACCTCGAGTGACCGCTCTTCTCCACACCGTGGCTCGGATTCTGAAATAATAAGAGAGACCAAATGAGGCACAGTGCTTCGCAGAAAGCCTCTCTGAACCCCTATCAATGACATATTGAGGTTTTCTTCGAACTGAATCGGCTTCGAATAAACAAATGCCGTTCGTTCGGGCAGTCTCGAATTATAATCCAAATGAAATTCAGCGAGAAATAGGACGGAGAGCAGTCTCAACGACAGTACCTCTGATTCGCACGAGCGGCTGCGTACAGTGATCGAGTCGTCTCCTTCCTAGAGTAGGGAAACACTTTTCTGATGGCGGAGAGTCGCGCGGCGAAGATTCCACGTCAGTCTCTTCATGCTTGACTGATTCCCGCTCGTTTTCATCTATTCCGTCCTGCTCTTCTCCGACGACCAGCCAGCCTTGCCAAGCGAATCTCGAAGCGAGCAGCAGCTCCCGAGCCATTGTCTACCTGCCGGGATGTTTCCGAAAAGTCGTACGTCGTCCGAAGAAAGTCGTCTACCGTTCGGGATCGATCTATCCACTCCAGTTTCCACCTTGAGGTTACACTGAAAGATCACTCCCCGGGTAGTCCGGCTACGCTGGACATATTCCGAGAGGGCTCCCGACCAAGAGGTCGCGAACAGAAATGGATGGGAGCAATGGAAAAATGCTCCGCTGGATTCGATGATTATACTCGGAACTTGATATCGGACCTTTTCTCGAGGACCTCGGTCTTCGATATCGACGGCTCCCTCTCCCTTCTTTGCAAGCGAGCCCTCGAAGTTAGAGTTCCGAAGTCTCTTCTCGTACCTCGAAGGCTGCCCGCATCCAATTAGATAGTAGTGGAACAAAAACGTATTCGGAAATATCTCCTCGGAACCGTTCCCCAGGAACAAGTAGGCCCGCTCACTGAGGGACGATGAAACTCCGGGAAAAAATCTCTTCTGTTCGACCGGTGGCGCCATTGACCACCGTGGTGCGCGTGACGCATTCTAGCCAGCCCTCCGACGACAGGGTAACACGCTCACCGCCTTACCTCTACCCCGTGGGGATTCTCCTCTTCGTTCTATGCGTGCGTCGTTGCGAGGAGGAAGCTCATTCCTCTGATCAGCGGGTCACGTTGCACTTGAAGACGCTCCCCGTTCGAAGAACTTCTCGTACAACACCGCAGGGACGAATTGCAAGAAAAAAAAAAGATACGAGATGATGAGCCAAGTTGGACGTAATCTGAAGCAGATGGATTTCTAATCTGATGTGGATTCGCAGGTGTTCATTCGCCAGGGCAATGTCATACAGGCAGCGGCGGTGGACAAATCGCGGCGCGCCCGCATCGTCTCGAAAGGAAGCGATCAGGTTCGCCAGTGTTACCTTTTTACTAATCACATGCTACTATGCAACAGGACATCCGCTGGAAAGCTACACCTCATAGAAGGTGAGTAAATTGCCAATGAACAGACTTTGGTGATTTCAAACCTTAAATAGAAGAGTCGAGCAATCAACTTTCGGAGCTGATTCGTGGTGGGGACAGAAAAAATCCGAGGATCAGCTCAAGAAACTCGGAAGTCTTCCTCGGGTCACCGAAGGTCGTGCCTCATGCGACTCCCGGAACTCTTCTGCCTTTCTGGTGTACCACCGCCTCATAGGCTACGACTACAGGAGCACGGAGTAGAAAAGTCGAATATCCGAGCTCGGACACGTCAGTGCGGCGGATAGCGACCATGCCAGCTGATTTCTTACTTAGCTGCCGCCGATGTGCTCCGCCGATTTGACGACCGCTGACGGTCACGGTGATAATCAGGGGGAGATCGTTCCGATGAATTATAAGCGAAGATCCTCATGACGTGGAGGATGGTGGTTCGTGATGCGCGGGTATCGGTGACGGTCAACGTCAGGTAGAGAATTCCTAACTCCGTCTCCTCGAGTTCAGGAGTGGAGCTTTGCAAATCGATGTCGTAGTATCGTTGTACCTCGATGGACGCTGCACTTACTTGCTTTTTCTTCCGTGTCGTTCGTCTCCATTACGCTCGACGACCATGTCGGAAATGGCTGGACCCTCTAAGGGCCAGTCAGTCGCCGCCGTCGGTCGCCCTTTCTGAGTATAAAAATCTCGTTGAGGCTTTTTTTCTGCCGTCTTCTCCTTTCCGTTCGTTTGCTTCTTGTCGACCGCTTCTCGTCCGATCGGTTCCCGGATATCCATGTTGAGCTCTTCTTCGCCGGCGTGGGAACCGATGACGGCTTGCCACAGAATCGATGCCGCGGAATCTACGATGAGCTCCTCTATCGAGGAGGTGGTGTTTGGTGATGAAGGTTCTGGAGCAACGAATGCCGCACGAATGAAAATGAGCCTTCTGAGGAGCGACGGAGGCGCGAGCGACAAGTTTCCCTCCCGACTCGCTGCCTTGCTCTCGCTGTCATAAGAATCGCGCGGGTAGTCTTGCGCTGACCAACGACGCTTGACATTCGGAGCCGAGTCCGCTCACGTCTTTTGACTCCGACGTCGGCTCGTATGACATTTGTTCGACCACTCCTTTTGGTCGTAAAGGGGGAAAAAACGTCGCGACGGAGGCGGTCGGCCAGCCACGCTCGGCGTACTGGACGAGCATCTCGAAGACTTTGTTACGAAACGCCGCGCCGTCGGCGCCATCCCTCAGATAGTATTACGTAACGACGAGGACGGATTTCTCGTTCGCTCGAAAGAAATAAAATAGAAATATCCGAGCACCTTGACGAGCTAGCTTCGAGTTTCGGTCCTCGAGATCGAGACTGACTGAGTGAGAACCGCTTCCAGGCGCTCGGTGTTCGTCCGAAATACCCTCAGAGGACGTTTCTCCTCGTGATTTATTCATTCTCCGCCGCACGCGGAAACTTACTGAGAATCGAGTCCATCCGCGCATAAGTCTGAGAAATATCTCCGAATCAAGGATCGAGGTCATCTCGGGAGTGAGCTGCTCAAGCGGAGCGAGGCCTCTCCAAATAGAGCGAATGTCAACGAAGGAAATTGCACCGTCTATTGAGCGGTCTGAAAAGCCAGTTAGACAGCATTGGGGAGAATGTGCAGTGTTCCCACCGTGTGTGCGAAGACACCGGAGCAAAACCGAGGTAATGGGCTGTGTCCTCTTCTGCGCAACTTATTGGCTGTCTGCGACTTGGCTGCCGGCGTTTTGAAGCGCGTCTGCACCTGCAACCTTATGCCTTGCCAAAAGCCCAAACGAGTTTTTGATGCGTGTCTTCCAACATCGATCGCCTCAAAATGCACCACCAAAGTTTCTTCCCGCGAATCGTTCAACTACTTCATATCGTTCAGAGGTTCAGATCTAGTCGCACACCGAGCCCGGTATAAAAACGCCGTTGCCTAATCTATGCAGATCTAGATGCATACGACGTTGAACGATGGGCGAGTGTGCCGCCCGGATTTTTCCATCATCGGATCCCGAAGGAAGTGCCGATCGCGCGAAAACGCGGACAAGCGGAGAACTTCGGTGCGAAACATTTGCTCGAGCTTTTTTTTTTATAAAGTTTGGGCGGAGCTTTCGAGATTGCCACACATGCGAATAGGCTCTCGCCGGCGTCAAGTCCTCGAACCTGAGCGTAACATATGGCGTACCCGCACTACGACTCCAGCCGAAACGAAGCTGTTCGAACGCCTTTGCGGACGTCCGGACGGCCGGGGGCTGAGCGTGCTGCCAGCCAGCCAGCGACTTCTACGGGGACATTGGATGAAGCAAACGACTATCCGGAGACTACACGGTCCCTCTGCAGTTTGAGGGCCTGACTCATTTGTTCAGTGCCCGTACACTACGTTGCTTGCTTCACGCAGGGCGAACCGCCCTTGCTGGCGAGATGAATGATCCTCTACGAAGAAGAACGAAACCCAAAAGGGAATTCCAGGAAAGGACCACTCAAAAAGTGCGGCACGCGGAAGAAAGTGCGAGAGATTGACGACGGGAGGGGACGACGGACGAACCGACCAACCAACCAGGGAGAGATAGGCAAACGCGGTGTTTCAATTCCAGCCTACATTCGAGCGCAAATAAGAATTTCGCGGGGATCAGACGGATTGACGGTCTTTAAAGCGACCAGGCCGATCCTATTCGCCGAGCGGGAGCATAAGAGAAGAGTGCGGCAAGGAAAAAAGATCAGCGGCTGCGAGCGAGAGTGAATGCTCTCAATTAATTTGCTTCGGAGATCCGAGCAAGCGTTGATCAAAACCGACTCGCAAAATACTCTTTATGTCGACGGGCGCAGACCCTCGACGAGTTTCTTGCGCAAACGCTTCCAATCGGACAATGAATTTCTTCGGTTCCCCACAATGGATTCTCGATTGGCTCGGGAATCATCTCCGCCAGATTTCTTTCGCTCCACGAAACACGTAGAGAGGCTCGAAATTGCGTCAGTTGTCTTCGAATCACACGTTTCCGTGACTCTGGACCGCATTCGCTCCCGGAACGTTCAACGATTGGCTTGAGAAAAATAGACGGGGCCATCGTGATATTTCGCGGAAGAGAACTCGAGGCTCAGCCCGTCGTCCTGTCTCGGAGCGTCATACTCCCACTGCTATAACATTTTATTCCATTTCAGGCATAGGCAAAATACCCTTGGCAGATGCGACGCTTATAGAGGATCCGAACGAGCAGTTCCAATTCATGATCGACGAGGCAGAAGGTAATTTAATTCTCGAATCCCTTCCGTTGATAAGCACCGCGCTCCGAGTCCTGTTGCGGGGCTCTCCGTACACTCAGTTGAAGGCTCGCCTCTTCATTTATTAGAGCGGGACCCATCGCGTTCTGTATGCAGATGAAACCCCCTTGGAAATGTTGGACATCGCTGGAATGATTGAACGCTCTGCCTACTGTCCATTAGCGCGATCCACGAGTGGCTGAGAAGCTACGCAACGCGAGGGATAGTCTCGTTCGAAGTTGCACCTCGACTCAACCTCCCTCGATATTTGTTCCGATGACGGGAAGCTGAATCTGACATGTGATTGCAACGGCGACTGTTCTGGGAGTGAGGCAGCTGCGTAATGTCGAGCGTTCCAGGCATTCTCGTTTTATTTAGAATCCCCGACCCCTCTCAATCGTCCCATTCATTGATTAGCCGAGGTTTTTTGCCATTCTCTACCTTTCTTCAGACGCTCGGCGCTCCTTCCTCCCTCCCATCTAGTAGTACCTGGAATATTCAATTTCGATCCTACGTGCGCACAGATCTTCGACCAGTCGCATTCGAGGGCAGTGGACATAAAATTGGCGAAGGACGATGGGAAAATAGAGCGGCTCCGGGCTCTCGCGCAAATCTCCTCATTTATGGATCCTCTTTTTCCTCGTCATCCTGCCCGCAAGCGTGATGCTTGGTTCCTTCGACAAATATTTTCATTCCGACTCTGTCTTCGCTTCTTTCTTCATCCTTGAGCCGCTATTCGTTTCCTCTTTGCAGTCCCTCGCTAAGCTGACAGCCTTCCGTCCGGTCGGTCTAGCTCAATATTTATTTTAGTCGGGAAATTCACCTAGAAGCAAATTTCCTATCCCTCCATAACACTCGAGAATCACAGAGAAGCTCGGCAGACGGTCGGAATCTTCTTAGATTCAGCCGAGATTGCTTTGGAATTATCGGCCCAATCGACGTCGCGGCGGGACTCGAATCAAATGCCGACATCGTCGGTTGTTCAAGATCTGAAAATTGAATAGAACAAGGATTCTGTTCTCGGAGCATGCGAATGAGTGAATGAAGCGTGTGGAATCTGGGTGAATGAAACCTTCTCAAAGCCGTCTGTCCCAGTGAACTTATATCTGTCTGAGCTTCAGCGTATGCCCTTTTCCTCGCATCGATCCCGCTCCCGAGGCGACCGCTCCTACACAATGAACAGGCAGCAAGATCAAAAGAAAGATGAGAGGAGCCAAACAGACTACAAACTCTGACTACCGGTCAATAACTTCTGATTGCCCCATTCGATCCCTCCGTCTGATGAACCCCGTAAAGCCAAGTGGCCCCATCGGACAGACCGTGTTCCTTTGACTTTCCCGGAGGCTCCCGCACAGGAATCTGCTCTTGAGGGGGGGGGCAATTCGAGTTTCGGAGGGGCTCAGACGACCGAACTGATGACGCGCCTCCTCAATTTCCATACTTTAGCACCACGACATATAATTTTACAAGGAGGGGGGGGCATGGCCTCCTGAATCCTTTCCCTGTGCGCACCTCTGTCGACGCTATGCGATACAGATCCTATCGGTTGGACGGACCAGAGGGAGACTGAAGACGAAGCGCTTATCAGGGTGTCGAGAGATGCGACCGGCATGCATGAGGGAAGAAAATTGAGAGCAGCATGGGATCAGCTTCACGAGGCTTACAAGCGTCACGATCGATTAATTATTCATACAACAATTTCTTCCGGCAGGATCCATTTGCTCGGCCATGGCGAGCAATAGCGATAGCCTATCGAACCTGAATCAACCGAACCCAACAACAAACGGTCAAGAAAAAGACTACGGAGGTTTAGACTTCAAGATTATCGTCGATTTCAAAACCGGTCCTGCCATCACAATTCATCTGGTGGCTCCCACAATGCAGGAGAAAGCCGCTTGGACATCAGACATCTCACAGGTGAGAGGATCAATGCTATCCGCGGCTCACAGGTAACCGTTCAAGATGTCAACGACGACAGGGAGGCAGGAGAGAGATAGGGAAGATATTTCGAAAAATGATGAACCCAGCTCCACATCTGCCTCCTCCTATGTGTCGTTCCACGGTTCTCTTGCTGAGGGAGCTCCGTGCGTAGCCCTCGGTGCTTTTGTACGCTTGGTATCTTCTTCAATCTCCTATATTGAACTACTCAGTATGTGCTCCACGTTTCGTATTAAGCGGTGGTCAGTAGCCTCTCGCCGATAGGTTGGCGGGAACAAAGAGGAAAATAGATAAGGCTCTCCTGGCCCAGAGTTTCCGTTCCTCAGGAATGGAGGACTCCTATCGCTCTAACGAGTTTCACGTGAAGAAAAATTCCGTAACCGGTTTCGGCATCCCAAAAGAGAGGGGTATCGAGAGCTACCTATTTGTTTGGAATTTCGGAGCGTAGGAAGCGCGGACCGTTCCGAGAGTCTCCTGGAGATCCCCAGACGAATCGGCAGATCTCCATCGCGCATTCGCTTTCAGGAATATGTTTGGGAGTTGGCAGAGCCGTGTAGCCATCGACTCATGCAGAGTATGGATGAAAAAAAGTGTTCCTTTCCCTTTGCAGTGCATCGACAACGTGCACTTCAACGATCTGTTCCACGGAACCCTGAGCGACGCGTCCTCAATCACGATGCCTCACTCGATAAGGAACGACCCCCGCCTGTTCAAGGACGATGTAGACATCCGCTTCAGTCGAACCCTGAACTCCTGCAAGCTTCCTCAGATCAGATATGCCAGTCCGGAACGGCTGTTTGAGAGACTCACCGACCTGCGTTTCCTATCGATTGACTTCCTGAACACCTTCTTGCTGACGTACCGAGTGTTCGCTACCGGTGTCATGGTGCTCGAGGCTCTTAAAAAGGTAGGAGAAGCTCGTTTTCCCCCTGCTCCGTCGTTCCTCATTTTTTGAGAGCTCCGCGGAGCGATGAGCTGTTTCGCGAACCTCGGCCGCGCCCTAGGGCCGAGACGGGAGCGTGCGAGGACATATCTCCAAGCCAAAATCCGAGACGGACATCAGGCCGTAAAGAACGGGGGGGGAACATAGGTGCCGCTAGGTGCTATACGGCTTCGCCCAGCAGCGGGCGAAGCCGAGCCGAGAGCTGGCGGTCTTTGTTTTCTCGGTACATGTAGATGACACAGCACGGTCCCGTGTCATCCTGTCGCGCCTGAGAAGGGCTCCAGATCTTATTTCCCCACCCCGCTACTCCACCACTACTTATCCACGTTGACTCCCGCTCGCGTGCAGCCGCTCAAGAACCCGTTCGCCCGTCTACCGACCAATCTAGCGTCCCGTCGTTGCCAAGACGTGGCACCTTCGCGACTCGCAGTCACATAGTATATACGTCAGTCGCTGCGAGCGCACCGCTTCAACCCGGAATACCGGAGCTCTCACCGAGAAGTAACCTTTCGCTTGCGGTCGCGAATGCCGTCGGATATGTTCAGTTTGTTCTCTATAATTAGGCTCCCCCATCTCTACGACGGCGACACTAACAAGAACGCAGAAGGAGGCAAGGCGACGCATGTTATGCGGTCTGTTCAACGTGCTCGCTGTTCCTTGAGCCCGAAACGACCTTCCCGAGGTCGAAGTATGTTTGCTCTTGTTGCTGTTTGAGCTTCTATCGATCGCTCAGTGTCTCTATTATTTTCCCGCATCCTCGTCGTCGTTCGCCCTCGGCATCCTCACCTTCAAGGCCGAGCGGAGCTCAAAGATAGGCCGTAGAAGAGTGTAAGGGGCTCTCCAAATGCAGAGCGGTTGTCCGCCCGTGTCGACTCCCGCCATCTTTCAATTCCCGTCTCCCTATATCTTCGTGACCGGTCACTCGAAACGTGAATTTCTGCTTTCGGACGCTAGACTGCTTCATGAGGAATCAATTTTCTCGTCGTTCGCTTTCCAGGTCCACTACCAGCCCGAGCTACAGAACAACTGCGACGAAGCCGCCGCATTGTTGGGCGATAATCATCCACAGACTCAGCAAGGCCCGGACAATGATGTTCTTACAGGAATGCTGGGTGCCGAGTACGATTACTCAAGACGAATCAGCACGGCCAGCATGAGCAGCGAGAGCGGAGCCGATAACATCGACGCGGCGTCAGTCCACCGTGGGTCCACTGCCTCTTCCAATGACATGCATTCCATCACGAAAATGTCTGTGCAGTCAACCGGTGGGTGAACTATCAACAGCCATGCCAGCGAGTGGTTCAGACGTGCTGTATCCGACCTTCGGTTCGCCCGGCCCTCCCGCGATCAGCTGAACTCGATTTAGTTGCTCTGCTGAAAAGCTTCGATGAACCACGCAGAGGCTTATGGAGCTCCTGATCATTTCGGTATGATAATGCCGCGAAACAATTAGACAACACACACTCGTCGAGGAGCGAAGACAATCGGAATCGTCCCGCCGATCGCTCACGCCTCCGAAAATATGTGTGAGCCGTGTTGCGTGAACAGTTTTATCCTGCTTTCGGCACGCATACGTATTCCGCCTGTTCCTACATCCTCTCTGAGAGCCCTAAAAGTTTACGATGTCGTTTGATGGCTTCATGGAGTTACGAGGCAAGTTGGAACGACGCGCGAGTTCTGCACAAGGTCCCTCCTCTGCCATTTGTGAATGACCCGAGCATTCCTGCCGGCAGATACTCAGCCGAACAAGCGAGTAAGCAACCCCTGGCGTGCAATCTTGGCGCCGGGGCTGACGTGCTCACTCAGTCTCGGACAGTGAGCCACGGTCCCGAGGTCCATACGGTGGCGCTCCACGTCAGTCTTTGGCGTTGTCATGCCAACTTTCACCGAAATACTACTGTGACGATCGTTCACTCAGAGGATGTAGCTCATTGTTCGAAGCTAGCACGAGACGGAGAGAGCCGACGGGAGCTTACAGTGTGGTCGCTATCTCATCCCCTTGCATCCCAGAATCACCTGATCCTGAAGGCAAAAGTGACTAATCACCCCTGCCGAGTCCCGATCTTGCGCTGATCCGCTTGAAGAGGCTTGCAACACCTCGCTTCTGTTTGTGACGTCAGGAATATCGGCGGACCGGTGGATCCTCACGGCGTGAATGAGTTTTCGCAGAGAAGTTCACGCGATCAAAATCACGTGATGGAGTTGACAATTGCGCAATAGGCGCACGGCAAGCTCCTTCCAACTCGACCGCTCGCCGCGCCGTGGAGCGATGAGCTAGCTCGCAGCACATGTCTACCAAATTGATCGATCCTTGCGGACCCCCGTCATTGAGCGGGAATTCGTCTCGGGTTTCTCCCGAGTGCTCCATCGACGGCGCGGCGGCGCCATCGTTGGCGGCTGACTGGCAAAGGCGAAACGTCATCAACGGGTCTGCGGTCTCGTTCCCGATCGATGGAAGGAGGCAAGCAGGCCGGTCGGCAAGACGGGAATCGGACCCCCAGTCATGAAGTCTTCGTCAGAATCACATGCACTCACCGCATCAAGCGGTTGCGGGGGCTCGGGAGCCCGGAGATATTGCTCCTCGATACTCGCCTGACCCTGACCATCCATACTTTGGCGAGACATCAGCAACAGGTCTCGAGGACCGGCAGGGACAGTTTGCTTACCTCCGCAATTGCTTCTCGACGAGTGCTCGATGAATCGAGTAGAGCGGAAGCATGCAAATGTGAGGTCGAGTTGGAACGAGTTCCGGTAGCGAGCGATTGCTCGCGAATAATTAATGTCCCGTGCGCCGTCTCGAGCAACACTTTCGCGTAGCTAAGCCGAGATCGATTGTTGATAAACATGATCGGAACCACACGGCCCGTGGGAGCGAACACGAGTGCGCAGACGCTGCTCTTCCCTCGAGTGGGGAACGCCTCGCTGCGTGAAGAGATAGCAATCATGGGTAGCATTTGTCAACTTGCGCGGCTCCTGCGGCGATGAAGTTTCTGTCGACAGACGCATCAGTCGCAGCTCGAAGTCCGCGCGCGACGGAGCGCCATCCCGATGATGGAGGTTCTCATCTTCGCAAATCGGATGAAATTATTAGGTTTTTTCTCCGCCCCACTTCTTTCGTGTTTTGCAACAATTCCTCTCTCGATCCCGCGGCCCGTGGTCGCATTTACTGCGCAGATAATGGCTCAAGTGATTGTGCGACGCCATCGTACGCCCGCAGATGGCGGAGGGCCGGCTGCCGACGAGCGCCGTTCTCGAGAATAATATTTTTTTCTTCTCTCTCGCAGCACATTGGCGGTTGAGCCACCGGAAATTCGAAGAAGAATCGCCCTCGAAGCGAAAGCTTAGCGAAAGCCTGGCTGACAAGCCTATCGATGAGGCGATCGAGGAGAATTCATCCCTCAGTAGGTATGATGATGGGAGCATCCTCCAAATGCGTGTTCCAGGATCGAGCGCAGCAAGAACCGAACCCGAGGAGAAGAAAGAAGCAACGCACGCACCAATAGCGGTCAGCGAATCCCTGAGCGATGCCGCTTCAATAGCCGAGCAGATCACGCCAATTGCAGGTGGGTTGAATTTTTTCCAAACCTCCTCCCCCATCCCATTCGTGGGGGAGCCCCCGGGCGGGGGCAGTTCTCTCCTCGGTGTCGGCACTCGGGAATACTGAGAGCGCTACCGAAAGATACCGCACGACGACCGCGGCAGATCGAGCAAGACGAGAACCTGATCGACTCTTTCGATATTAAGATTGACTTCCTGCGGCCATCAATTTTGAATTCCGAAATATATTGTTGCAGAATACGACGCGGGCGGGACTAGCTGCGTCATCATAAGGAACGAACTCGACCCGAAAAACCGATCGATTGACTACATTTCGCAGCAGCATTTCCAACCACTTCAACAGCTGCAGCAGCATGCTAACGACTCCGCTCTTAACAACAACAATCAGAGTAGCTTAGCGAGTGGTCAGACCGCACGGCAGACAGCGACGACTTACACGGCGGTCGCCACAACACCTGCATCAAGCACGAACACGGCCTACACTGCTGTACTTGGCACAACAATCACAACAATATCAGCGACGATTACGACAACAGCTGTGGTGACTGCTAGTGCAACAATATTCACGACCACAGCAACGGCTGCGGCGTCCAGTGCCGCCGCCGCTGCTGCGACAGCGCAATCCTCAAGGGTGAGTTGCTATCTTGTAATTTGTGTCCGATGATTATCGTTCGCATGCGGTCTCTCGGGGAATCCTCCTCTCGAATCTCGACAGCTATCCGGAGTGAATCGAATTCCACATGACCGTGGGCCTCGGGATTCGTACGGATAGTGCGGAAGTGGGATATTTCGACGGAATATGATCGAGGTTTCACGAAGTAAGGCAATCGAACCTCTGGAGATCAGTATTTTCCCCCGTATTGGAAATCTCCGAATCTCATCTGGATCGGTTATCATGCCGACTTAATACTTGTTCCCGGGGATTGGGAGAGGGAATATACGATTTGGTGGTTCCGACTTGTTTGACCGTAGCAAGAGTGCGGTTACTCACGCACGGACCATCCGGAAACGTTATTTACGAGGCCGTGCTTACTTGCAACAGCTCCGCTTGGTGATCATCCCCGCGGTTTTCGAAATATTGCCGATTATTTCCCAAGCGTCCCGCTGATGAAGCTCCCCTCGTACGGGCTTTCGAGACACACGGAAGCTCTGAGAACGTCTCTTGCTACGTCCCAAATGATCAGGAGGACGAGCAGGTGCATGCGTCTCTCAAACATTGAAACATCCTTCCCGGAATGGTGTGCAATTCGTTGGAGCACCTTCCCGCAATTGCTCCGACGTTGTGCCAGCGTCGGCAGAAGTATACGGGCGGAAGCATAGGGTGATGGATCTTGATTTTCTCGATCATCGCTCCCTCCACGGAAAATTCGATCGTAACTCCTTAGTACATAGTTCCTCGATGTGGGAAGCTGTTTTATCCGTGCTCGTTCGCGATACGACTTGAATAGATGGACCGACGGAAGAAGGTGCATCAAGGCGTTTTTGAAACGACTCGTCGTCAACAACTTTTTCTCTATGGCTCTGATGAGGCAGAATGCATGATCAGGCAATATAACGTGACTGGCTCTCGATTGATGGACTTACGTGCGAAGGTGGCCCTTCCCCATATTATCGTCGGCGTATGTGTCTGAAATATACGGCTGCAACGGCTGCACCCACCGATACCAGAGCATCCGACAGATGAAAAGGTAGCGAGTCATCGGCAAGCGAAACTTCTTCCCTTCCTTTGGCAAACATGAGCTCTATCCTCTCCACCGCAGTAACTCACCGGAATGCACACGGCCGAAGCGGGCGAACGTGTGTCATACACCAACATATATAAAAACGATGCTCTCAGTCGAACGGAAACCCTTCAAAGTACCAGGGGCGGGAAGACCCATGAGGGGCTCAAGGACAGACGCTGCGACTTATCTAGACTCGTTATCATCAACATATCGAACCCCTGTTCATTTCGAACATAATCCGCGACGGCGAATCCATGGCTTGATTCGTTTGGGATATCCATTTATCTGCCGCGAGCGATTGCGTCGTCGGATGGAAAGCGGGAGGATGAACGGCGATCATCATCATGGTCACTGAGATGATACCGTCGACGACTGTGGTTTCGGAATATTTATTGTATCAACAGAAGCTTTCGGCAGAATGGACCGGTGATTTTCCCTGAATGGAATTAAATTCTGCATGAAGGTCGAGGCGAGCAGTGGAAGGAGGTTCGAACAGGGAGTCCTCAGGAGCGGGGCATCGTTGAATCAGCCTAAAAACAAAAGCTTTTGAAAAATGGTTGTTCCCCTCGCCTCGGTATGATTGTTCAAGCTCGCACACCCGTCTGCCCGTTCGGTTGGTCCTTGCAATGTTCGTGCCGCGGGATAAATTGCTTATGTTTTTTTCCCGGAACGATAGCTACACCTTCCCTGGCGCCGCGTCTCTCTCCGTCCTGCGCTGTCACCGTGCAGAAATATTATGAGCTTTATTCAGAACATTCCTCCGCGGAACCTTCCTTCAGCGGTACCCTCAGACGAAGAGTATATCTCCTCCACGTCCGCGGTGTCATATCGCGGATGTGGAGGAGAACCATAGATCTAATTTTCGCCGCTCATGAATTAATGACTCCCCAGCTCTCTGAAGGCTCGGCCCGGGAAAAGATCCGACTGTGCTCAATGCGATTTCAATTCAGGAAGTATCGAAGCCGCCGCGAGGATTTCGGTGTCTCGGAACGCGAATGTGTCGAGACTCTGAGGGGGGGACCAGGATCGCGATTCGGTCGGGAAGGAGTTAAGAGGGAGAGGCGAAGTTACCTGTGGACCGACAACGGTCTGTCCCTCCGATATGGCTCCCTGCGACAGACTCCTGACGGGGGCGTTATTTTTGGATAAAACTCCGTTGTGCCATGCCCCGGAGCTAGCTAGCTAGCTCGCTAGCTCATCCGCTCGCTCAACTCTGTCGCGGACGAGCGAAGCACCGATCGAGCGAGCTGCCAAAAGACCGAGGGGCGGACGAGCTTCGCCGGCAGCAGCCAACGGAGCTGAGGAGGTCTTAAACAAATTAGGAGGAGCGCTCGCGTTCCCACCGCTCGGCCAGCTGAGCTTGCTCGCGTTCCTTCCCACACGCCCGTTAGCTCTGCAGTGAGAAGCGAATCCGCGACGCTAATATGGAAAGACGGATGAGATCATCATCACAGCCGTCACGGAGAAAGCAGGGTCGTTGTTGTCGGTGTCGCTCTTGTCAGAAGCGGTAGCGGGTCGTCGTCATCGTCGATGAGAAAGCTTGATATAATAAAATCACAGTAATGAGATTTAGTTCGCGTACGTTCTTTCCCGCGCATACTTTGCCCGCCGTCGAAACTGACTCGAAGCGGTTGGGTGGATGGCATTCATATCCTCGGCTCGCCGTCGTCGCCACGGCCACCTCGCGAATTAGCTTTGGCATTCGTGCCCGCGTATGGCGTCGCTCAGGTTCACCGTCTGGCTGGGTGGGCGTGCAGGTGAGTCAGACACACGCTCTTAGCAATCCTTATAGGCAAGCGAGTGTTTTGCTCCGCTGCGTGACAAAAACCGGACAATGGTCACAGCACGCGCTCGTGGGGTCCTTCCTTAGGGAATCTCCGGCTCGTCGCGATGTGGGTGCGCTAATCTCCGGGAGATATTCGTTGGTCGCGAAAAAAAGGAAATCTTGCGACTGCCGGATTCGTGTCGCTCATGAGAAGTCCCACGTTGCACGGTTTCCTTAAATGTATCGATGTTCCAATCTACGATTTTGTTCCTCCCTCATCGTTCGTTGCGAGAGCAGCGAACGTGACTGAGCATCGACAGCTCGCTGACACTTATTTCCTTGGCGCCGGACGTCGGGGGATCCGCGCTCCTCCTTATGGTCCAGACGGATGTTCCAGTGCCGTCATTTTTGAAACAATTGTTTCCTTCCGCTCTGCGCATTTCCACCATCCCGAGAATTTTATTACTGGACGACTGCCGTACGGGCTCTGCCCTCGAGTTCCGGGTATTCCGAGTCGTCAGCAAGTGCGCAGAAGCGATGCTTCCCAGATTCGCTGAGATAGACGCACGTTGTACGTCAACTTTCGCATCCGCTCGCTTTCGGGGTACCGCTGGTGACCGGATATATCCGTGGTGAGAGACTTTCCGCAGAAGTCGAAATTGGTAATTTCGTCGGTTAGCGCCGAAACGGTATGCTCCTTCGAGAGGAAATCCGAAAGTTGCCGCGCACGAGCTCTCCCTCGAGCCTTTGATTATCAATAATATGTTGCTTGCAGATGGCGCGCGTCATCAACCCCATAACTTCGAGCCAGTCTTCTCCGAACGTCATGAGTTATCTCCGCGTTCGGGGTGCTCAGGGCAAGCGGTGAGTTTAATGCTTGAAAGTTTCACTCGAGATCCAGGCGATTCCCTTCCACACCACTGGCTTTCCCAACTTCGGTTTCGAAGCTGCGAAGCTTGGATTCCTCCGACGATCGTTCAAACCATCTTGGGATATGCTCCCCTCCACTTCCGGGAGGAACTCATTATCTTCGGGCGCATCTACGGGTTTCTCCCCGAATGTCTTCACACATCAGATACACCCAACATGAATAGGTCAACACGATCGACCGAATCGAAAAAAAACATCCCATCAAACCTCTTTTTTGCCTTTTCCATCCAGTGGGAGTTACGATACGGACACAAGTTCCCCGAGCGTCACACCCAGGGGGAGCTTCCAGACCGAGTCGGCTATCTTGTCGACGCCGAGGAGCAGCTTCGCGTATTCAGACAGCCCGACGCACAATTCACGTGCAGGCGTCATCGTCACGTGCTCGAGAGCATCCGCAAGGCGATCGTCTACTGCGTCGGCCGCGGCCGCATTCGCCGCGGCTACAGCGGGCTCCTCGAACCCACCCGAGCCTGCGATTCCGCCCGTCGTCACCGGGTGAGTTCTGAACGTCTCGCGCTCATTTCGATATATGCTCAATATTTATTCTAGCCTCGAGTATTTCCGAAGTCAGGAACCACCGAGTACGGGAGCTCGTGTAATATTCAAATCACCCCATGTTCGAGTCAAGAGTTTGAATATCTCTGAGCACCTTCGTTTTCGTGCGTACATGTTCTTCTCGGAGAATGGCTCTTATTTCCTCCGACGCATCGATATGTTCATGGGGGACATGGGGAACACCAATGGCTTCCCCAACCCCTCCCGTTAGCTAGACGATTGTGTGCTACAGAGTCTGTATTTCGTGGTGAAGGTTTTCCTCGCGCGGCTATCCCGCTGTTGAACAATAGACGATATCCCATGCAGAGTCTCTGTTGAGAGTCGCCCTTGAATGTTTGTTCTCTTCTTGCTCTCAGAAACATGTCGCAGCCGCCATCACGTGTCGGGAGCCGACTCCCGTCGCAGGTGGGTGGGGATTTGAAGATTCCCAATCTGGGACCGAATGCAACCAAAGAGCAGCTGAACGCATACATGCTGCACGCAAAGAGGGAGAGCATGATATCCACCGCAGCAACCATGAGAGTACTCAACGTCCTTCGTCACTGGGTAGGTTCGGAGGAAAATATATATTCAAATCGACTTAGTTTTCTCCTTCACTCGGAAGCTCATCTGGGACGTAAAGCAGATCCGTTTATTGCTGGTCCAAGCGGTGCGAATTTATCAGACTGCCATGCCGAGTTCCGTTCTGCGGGCACATCTTCGACGGGTTTATCTTCGGCGAACGCTCATATTAAAAGGATCTTTACAGCTACGTACAACCATCTTGCCCGTTGCTGGTTTACGTGCCTAGCAATAATTCTCAAAAGTCTTCACGTAGTAGTCGTGTCTCCGTCGCAGAACGCTTCTCCACTCGGGCCTGCTCCCTAAAAGCAAACAAGCGAGCGAGGAGGGGACTTAGTGGCTGGCTCGCGGACGACCGAGCGAGTACGTCGAGGGAATAGCCAATTCCTGAATTGGTTCCTTCTGCAGGTGTCCAAACACTCCCAGGACTTCGAAAACGATCCGCGACTACACTTGATGACCACCGAGTTCCTCGAAGAGCTCGTACACAGCCCAAATCTTCTACCGGCTGAACACAAGGCTGCCGCACAGCTTCTGCAGATGATGTCCAAACAAGACAACGACAAGACGAATGTTGACTTGGATATTTTGTTGGCCCCGCACATGGTGAGTGCCGCGGAGACTTCGCTAATGATCTCTCATGGCGCAATCTGTCTCCTTCTCGATAATTCCCTGTGCTGCCGGTACGATAAGAACTCCCCCGCGAGCATGCCCTGGGGGGAGATGGTGCAGCATTCCTTCATTTTCGGGGGCGCTGATCCGGGATTCGGGATTGCGAATACATCGTATCGAATCGACCAGACTCGGAGGGATCCTCCTTCCCTTATCGTGTCTTCCTCGGAGAGCTCCTCGTTTGTGACTCTATTGTTGAACGGACACGTTCACACTTCGGCTTCAAAAACGTGCCTGGAAGTTGAATTCTTGGCCCCGGCAGCAAACAATAGCGTGGACCCTTCCTGTCTTCCCTTGTTTTGCTCTCGCTTGTATCGGAAGTAGAACTCGCAACACGAAGATATTCAAGCCCATGATCGGAAGCCAAGCAACGTCTTCTGCTTTTCAGACGCCCAGCAAGGAAAACGTCGAAAGTCTATCGGCTCTAGAGATCGCCGAGGGCATGACTTATCTCGACCACAGGATCTTCGTTGCTATTCGGAGCGAGTGCGTATCAATCATCGATCGATTTTGAAGTCAATGCTCTTATCGATCTTTTAGTGATCAAATCAAGCCCATCGCTTGTCTATCCGTCCAAGTGTCGAATGGCTCACAGCGTTCGATCTCACTCTGAGCGTCTCTGCACTGAGCCCTCCGTTCGCCCAGTTCTCGTGTTCGACCTCCTGCATGCAGAGGATAAGGTAATGGAATGATCACGAGGCCAGGGTTTTCGATCAGTCGTTTGTGATTCTTCTCTTACAGAGAGTTCCTGGGTCAGGCGTGGATGAAACCGGAAAAATCCATCAAAGCACCGCATATCTTGCTGATGACGCGACGTTTCAACGACGTCAGCCGTCTCGTAGTGTCGGAGATCATGCGGTGCCCCGAAATGTCGAAGCGAGTGTCCATTATCGAAAAATGGGCTGCGGTGGCCGACATCTGCCGGTGTCTTCATAACCTCAACGGCGTCCTTCAGATTTGCGCCGCTTTCGTGAATTCATCGGTGTTTCGCTTGAAGAAAACCTGGGAACGTGTATCAAAGACTACAAGACAAACTATAGACAAACTTCAAGCCCTCATTTCGGCGGACGGTCGTTTCCGGAATATGCGAGATGCCCTGCATCGCTGCGACCCACCTTGTATACCCTATCTAGGTGAGATGGCCCGACTGATTGTAATTCCGAGTTTATTGTGAATAATCCCAATCCGAGCCGACCTGGATCGAACTTTTGTTTCCAGGCATGTACCTAACGGACCTGTCATTCATCGAAGAGGGCACCCCTAATTTCACCGAAGATGGACTGCTCAATTTCTCAAAGATGCGAATGATCGCACACGTGATTCGTGAAATTAGACACTTCCAGCAGACACCCTACAAGATTGAACAAGTTCCTAAAGTGTTCAACTACCTGCTGGACCCGGGCCGACTGATGCCCGATGAGGAGCTCTACAGGCTTTCTCTTTGTCTCGAACCGCGACTGTCTAGGTTAGGCACAAAATTACCCACGACGTCGCAAGTAACCTCCACCACGCAAGTGACCACACAGAACACGTACACAACCACAACCACAACCTACGCCAAATCCCTCTCACCGACGCAACACCAGCAACAACAGCATTGAGGTGGCCGAATTTCTCCTGACTCCATGCAAAATGATCTGCGGCGAGCTGTCAACTTGGGCAGCTGCAAAAAATGAATTGAATCACGACTACGCTGTCCCGCGTGACATATCTCATTATTCGAAGTTGAGACGTCGAAGACGTGCCGGGAGAGGGAGAACTCAGCCCTCAATCAAATTCCGCTTGAGTTCTACACAAGCCACGAAATAATTTCTTTCTGCCGTCCCAGTTCCCTCCTGAAGTTATTGTGAGCGATTCTTCATACCTTTCGAATTTGCTCACAACCGTTCATAATCGATGTAGCTCCACGAAATATATGGACTCACTTCCATGATCATAGTCATCGACATCAATTTCACCACAGGAAACAACACGGAACTCCCCTACGGTTATTGTCGACACTGTGTCTCGAATTGAGTCAGTCCACAGAAACCTTCATGCTTCCCGGGACACCAAGATGTTGTGAATGAACATTTTGGAGCGGTATCCCGGCCTCCCTCCAGCGCTGCGGCTTCAATGTCAACTGCTCCTCTAAGTGGAAAGTCGAATGCCGATGAAAACAAATTCGACTGCAGCAGCAGCAACAGTAGCGAAGACGGCAATAATAACAATAGCCACAAGCTACTCATATTCTGCGCAGCGTCAGGAGCGTACGGCAGAGCTCCGAGGCGTCCTGACGGACACCATTCCGCAGCTACAAAAAAGAATATCGGAACTACCCACGAGGCACACAACTTCCCAACATCACACTTTCATTGACCGCCATCGCATCAAAACTGTCAGTAGAATAGACGAGGCAATACGAAGTTGGCCGAGGCAAGACAACTTGACAGGAAACATCACCCACTCGAGAAATACACAGCCATAGCTTGATCGTGTGAGAAGCTTCTGGTCATCTTAGGAGAACTTTTGGTTCATGCAGTTCGTCTTGCTGACAAAACTCCACATAAAGCGCTCGCTGAGTGTTCTGGAAACATTCCGGATCGCTCGCCGTTTCCCTGGCCAGCTCCTCGAGACCGGTCAGCGGCATAGAGTCCTTGTGGTCTGATGCCGATTATCAGAAGTCTTCGTGACCTAATAGACTTCGACAAAGCAAATATGGTTCACCACGAAACGCGGCTCAGAACGCCACCGAGAGTCATCGGGAATGCTGGAAAATTCGACACGCTCCTCGACACCTGCCGTGTAGGACGCTTATTTTCGGTGCGGTTCTTCCACAGAAGACCGCGCCAATCGCACGCGATGCATGAGCAGGCAGGGCATCGAATGCTGCTCCGGTCCGGGTTACGAGCCATACAGGGGCGCGCACAGGCTAAGGGGCCGAGAGGGGAGCCTGGCCCTCCGATATTTTCCGGCCGTAATGCTGAATTATAGACCTTGAGGAGACGCGTCACCTTCTCGGTCGTTTTGCCTCAACAAAACTCCATTACCCCTCGCTTCCCCCTCTTCACCCCCGAAAGAAATCCTGTGCGCGTTTCTGGAACCATAGGGCTGTTCACCGGCCTCCAGAGCTCTTCCAAGAAGCGAAAGGTTCATGATAAGGCCATCTGAGCTAATCGAGGTGCATTGTCCTTTTGAATCACACAATTAATTTATCAATTCACCTCGGAATCGATGCACGCCTGCTCGACTATTCATACCGCTCATTCGCTAGCATCGATGGACTTCGCCGACCCTCGCCTCTCTCCCTCCCGCAGTAGGATTTTGATTTCGATCAGTCGACATGACTCTTGAGCTCGATATGTTCTCTTATCGAGGGATGACATTGGCTGAGAATGCCATTCGCCACAACCACTTTCGCAAATAAGTCGGAGAAACACGGAAACTTGGCATCCACTCCTCAAGAATATCCAACAACTTAAAATCCAAAAAATCGAGTGCCGCCTTCGTGAAGCCGCGATAGCCCGTAGAGTCGGAGTATAGGCAGAATGAGTGAGCTGCTTCTTCCGCAAGCTTCGAGTACTGAGGGATCGGGAATCGCTCGACTCCTCTTTCCTTCTCATCTCGTTTGTTTCTCCGGAAACTTGACGATCAGTTATGCGAACAACCAACGAGATTCCTGCACCATCCTTCCAGTGAAAAGCTGACATCGCGAGCGGTTCTTGACGATGCATCGATGCTATACAGCTACAACACATAGCCAGTCCATTCTCGAAATTATTTGCCCCTCTCGAGCACGCCATGATTGTCTTGCTGCCTCATAGATCCCTGTTCGCACCAGATGTCCAACCAAGCGATACCGACCACTTGACACGCATACCCGTCACAAACACTTCGACTACGTTCATGTAAGTTTCACGACCATTTTCCGCATACAACCACAAGACACAAACATCGACCACGTCGAACAGAACAAGCGCCATTCTGAGAAAAATTTTGTGCCGTAGCATTCGGCCCGGCCTCTCGCCCGATTCATGTGGTTCAAGTCGCAAACTGAAGAGAACAGGATCGCCGAATCTCTCTCCCTTCTCAACTTCTCCTTGAGTCCTACTTATTCGCTCGTTCTTCCCATGAGAGGAGTGTGTCACCTGAATGATGCCTTCAGCCGGTGACGGTCGTGCTGAAAACGAGAGCTGTATGTTGTGAATGGAATAGATCCAGAGGCGAAAGCGAGAAATTATCCCTCCAGCCAATGGGACTGAGAAGCGTCGAGTGCGTGCACGGACCTACATATGATCTGCATGGCGAGAAAGGCCGGCGCGCAAACGCCACGGAATCTAATGTCGTGTCGCGAGTTTGCCCGCTACAGCGACTGGCCGCGACGGAGGCTTACGGCCACGGCCAGGTCGCGAGTTTCCTGTCTCCGGCCTCGTCCCGAACGGTTCGGTCGGCTCTTATCGGTGACAACCGACCCCTAACTATTCAAGTAGAGTTCGCGCTCAGCAGGGCGAGCATAGGAATACTGAGTATCGATGTCAAACAAAGAATCACCAGAGTCGTCTATGCGTCGCGAACAATCGCCGCCGGTGTATTGCTACAGGAAGGAGATGAGCGGTAGCCGAGTATCCGAAGCAATTCACCGCTTCTCTCGGAAGGTGTGTTCTGAGCGAAACACCTGATTTCAATACAGTAATTGGCGGCTCCGGTGTCGTCCCTGACATGGCCCGAAGAACTACGACGAACAAGATTGAAAGACACTGGCCCGCGCTTCTTATTGGCTGTTCGATTGCGACGATGAGTGATGAAGTCCCTAATAATTGAAGGGAGGCGTCTCGTCATACGATTGAGAATACAGTTCGCAGACAAACAAGTTACAGACCAAACGTTGGCGGAGCGTTTACAGGCGAATCGAATGATGAGCCATTGACGAGGAATTCAGATCACACCAATACCCGGGGTAAGAATTCGCCGTACATCTATTATCCGCGTCATACGGGAAATGGCATCTCAGAAAGTTAATGATTCGAGAGGATACACCCATCCCAATATCAGACGAATACTTCCCTCGAGATGGGCTAGTTAGCACCCACTGACTTCGAGCAACCCACTCGATCAATGATGCTCGGTTTGTCGGGGCTTCTCTGTCGATAGAATCTGGGGTCTCTTCCGGCTGGAGAGTGAACGAGAACCCAAGCCTCGACTCGGAGTTATAATTATATCAAAGAGTGGGAAGGACGGTTGTATTCGATAGCTATATATGCCCATATGCTTAGCTATCTTCGAGCTCAAGTTCATTGGGGAAAGGAAGAGGCACTCGACTAGTTTACAAAGTGAAATCAAAGAGCAGTGAGTAAAACTCATAAAAGACATATCCGTGAAAGTTTTGCCGCACTTTTGCGCTTCTTTCGCCGTTCGCGCGAGCCCGATCGATGTGATGTAGATTTTTCCTGGAATAGAGTTCTCAGACGGAGTTGGGAAAGTGAAGCTCGTTAGAGAGAGAGGAACTGCGGAGGCAAATCCTCACCCGACACGCCCTCGGATTAGAATTCGATTGAGCTTCTTCTATGAAAATATCAGAGCTAGATCAGAACGCTAATCGGAGAGCGATTGCCGGAGATCTACGCGAAAGTATCTGAAAATCAAAGATTCAAACTCGCCAGCCTGTAACCAGTCTCCTCTTCTGACATGCGAACGCTATGGCTGACCAACGAAGTATCACTATAACTTTTACAAGTAACTACTTCACTGGACTCCAGGGAGGGTTCCACTAGAAATCACTACAGGTGGCAGTGATAATAATAATACTATCACTCCTATCAACTACTTCTACTACTTCCACTACTTCTATTGATCGAAAGATTACAGTGCCGTGTGTCGCCCTGGACACCGCTTTCGGTGGAGACGCTCGACAAAAAGATCGGTGTCCACTTATTGTGCTATCTATATAAAGTCTATCAGCGGAGTCTATGGAAGTTGATCGTTGTTGTTCTCAGAAAAAGTTTTTTGTCTATCTTAGATGGCCACTACTGATACAACTGATACTGATCCTGCGATTAGGACTCTTGACACTATAACTACTACCACCGATACTACAGTATTCACCCGAGAATTGTCTTTTTCAGTCTATCGATTAGAGAAGGTCCACTAGTCTACTTTCTATAAAGCAAACTCTGCCTATCTATCAATCTATCTATACCTATCCACCAAACTATCTATCTATCCATCTCTCTATCGAAGATCCATCTATCTGAATATCTATCTATCGACTATCGATCTACCGATTCACAGACATCATCTTCATCGTAGTGAAAATTCAATCGTGTCCCATTATCATCACAGAAAGTTGTAAGGCCCACTCGAAGCACAGGAGCAGAGGCTTCTCTCGAAAAAACTCCTGTCAGTGCCGGACTCACTCGCTGGCATTTCTCGCACTCGGACCCCCCATCTTGTGGCAGTCGATTCGGCCGTGAGACGGTGCGCAACCTCCCGGCCGACTCGACCGATTGAGACACCGTGTTGTTAACATATAATGATCGCAGCATTTTGTGTATGTAATATACTTATATATATATGAATATACAGATATGTATACCCATGACCTAACATCCCCAGCCACTATGCGATGGTCAGAAGGCCCGGCTCTGTTGATCGTATTTTCTCGTTCATGATGAGTATTTTTTGAGTGAGGAGGGATTACCTCTCCCTGCGTTGATCCACTCCGCTGGCGCCGCTCATTCGAGATCGGCGTCTCGAATTCGATGTTCTGCTCCTGGTTCTGTCGATGAACTCCAGACCTGCTGCGCCTCGAAGAGGACAATGCGACTCGGCGACAGAGTAGAGCCACTTTAACTTTGTCGGTCTGACGAAATGGTCAAATGGAACATTTGGATCATTTCTCAGCGCGGGCCCTCTGAACCCGCTGAATCGTCGGCCCACGCCTGCACCTTCAGCCCTACATGCGAGATTGAAACCCTCCTCGATCCCTACTGGAAATTACCGACCAGGAACATGCAAAAAACCCTTCAATTCAGAGATTCACACGGACAGACATACACACGACGTGACGCGCGAATCCAAGCATACGGACTGACCTGTAAATCCATAACTCGCACCACAAAGATACATTCATTCATAAATACATACATTCTATAGAGCGGCGCTTCACTCGCGCCCCACTGGAGCCAAGCTTAGTTCAACTGTCTGACCCAGGGCGAACATCTAACGACGGACGCCTTTTCCGACGACGGTTTCGTAAACAGCGAACCTCAGCAAGCCGAAAAAAAAGAATTGGCCTGGGAGAGACTGTGTTGTACAGAAGTGATTTGTTCTACCTATGCCAAGGAACGATCATGGCGAACAGAATAGCTCGAATGTTTCTAGGTTGTGAGGTTGTTGTTCACGCTGTCATCCTTCTCCTGTACAATATTTTTTCAAGGAGGAACTATCCTTCCTCTCGAATGATATGCATCCACTTCACGCGATCGATCCATTGGCTGGTCGATTGTCGAACCCACAGAGGAACTTACAGACAGAACTCACGATTAAGCCTCTGCTCGATACGAAACGGAAAACCTAAAAATCCTCTCCGCTATGGTCAAGCGCATCGGCTGTTCATTCTTGAATTACTAATGGATACACCCAGCTAATGACCGAGTCAACCATCGATCGATTGATTGTATCAGGTCATTTCCATTGTTGACGTGTTATTTGACTCCCCGATAGTTTTTCAAGTGGAGGAGAAAAACACGCGGACGAAGCAGTGAGCATGATGAGGATATGATAATGATGATGATAACAATAATAATAATACTGATGGAGGATAAACTTCGACGAACGGAAGCCGAAGCGCGTTGACATCGAACTCTTCATGATACAAAGTCTATCGGTTATCGGTACGGCCATCCTTCCGCGAATTATCCGTGAAAAATAATTTTCTTGGATCCAATTCACTGACACGAAGGAAAGATCATTTTTCTCCCTCTTGAACCACGCGTGTTGAAACTATCCGATTTCTGTTTTAATAAAATGATGCTAAACTTCCCGAAAGTTTGGTGTGTTCTTTGAATGACCTGTGTGTCTCTCAAAATCGCATGCTTGCAGCTTGCTCCAACGGAGCGTCGATTCGAAAAGGAGGATTGACGGCACGTCGGTGAGACAGCTTTCGCGAACCGCACCTAGAGATTTGTCCCGAGCTGAAAATCCAATACATGATATAGAAGTCTACCACTCGGGGAGCTGCTCCATCCAGACGCGAAGAGAATGGGCATCTAATAAATCGAGGGTATCGATAACGGGGAGGAAGCTCCGGATCGGAAGGGTAGGGGGGACGACCTCACAATATGTTTATGTACCCAGCGTGACCACATTAATGATTGGACACGGCAAAGTCGTTCACTGCTGGTCATGAGTCATGAGCTACTGATCTTTCCCCGAGATTCAAGAATTTTCGTTCTCTGTGATGATGGCTACTTCGCATTTCCTGTGATTTATGCGAGAGCTTGGGTGGATTCGCAGATTCTACATTCCTCAGGGGCGATATTCTCCAAACCCCAGTCAGCGATGAAGGCCGTCAAGTCCTTACGTTCCGGAAGCCCATTCCCGATTTCATGCCGAGATCATGGTCGGCCGTCGGGATCTCCGCCCGAGGATCAATGGATAGGGAGAGAACGTGAGTAGACGTAAAGTCGTCCGAGTACGCGATAGACAAAGCTAGGAAGTTCGTATCCATGACATCTAAGCTTTACACAATTTACTCTCTGATGAGCTCAGCGGCGTTCTCCGAATAATTTCTTCCGTAGCCTATCCGGAGTCAGATCCTGAAATAGGGAGCAATGTAAGAGTGGGGCAGGAATGGCTAGATCCCCAGTCATTCTGTGGCATCTTCATCGCCGCTAGCGAGCACTATCGAGTCGCCTCGTCGAGTGACTCTGGGTCCTTTCTGTCCAACCTCGAACTCCGTGATGAAATACACGATTTCCATTGGGCTGTTCATAAATATCGCTACTGAGCACTATTGGCCGTCGATCAAGATTTTTCTAGGTGGCGCTCCCGCCGACGCTGCCGCTAGACAGAGTGGCGTAGTATAGGCAAGGGACGGCCCTAGTCCGGAGCCTGACCGCTCTAGATCAGAGCTGAAAGCTACGTTCCCGAGAGAGCTCTGAGAGGGGCTACACTCTTTACTATCGAATCGCTCCCCATTGCTTGTGCAGTGGTCTCACAGGTCTTTGGTTTATCCATAGATCTGTTGTCGAAGCGACTGACACTCATCTCTCAAAGCTCCGATCGCTGCTGACAAGGGGTAATATTGCGGTCGACTGCTATCTGAAGGACTCGTGCGAGTTCATACACCGAGCTGGAGTACGTTACCGATGTCTTCCCCGAGATCCACATTCATGGAGCAACTGACCATTGCCCCTTTACGTGCATTGATGAGAGTGTAATTCGGGAGCGAAGAATCGGGGCCGGAACGGTCCTCGCAACAGTAACCGCGAACCGGCTCCATGCTCATCATTATCCTCCACGGGACGCCGATTCGGGAACTTTGTGCCACGGGTGCGACAGGAGGGGTACCCCTTGCGACTTGGGCGGACTCATCCTGGCGGACCGAAATTCGTGCCGGAAGGGAAACTGTTCGATGCGAAGCGAATACTCTCAGACGGATCCAGAACCCTGATACAGAACGCCCCCTCGGAGTCCGCGTCCCGGTCACTAGCCTCCCCTACGATCCGCCACCGACAATGTATCTGGCTTGAACTTGAGATCCGCGATTTTCCGTCTCCGGTTTCGAAGCGGAACCGTAGCTTCAGACCAGGTTCGACTGATTATTATCGTCGCCTTCAGATTGATTTACGAGACCGTGTCAAGAGACGTGATCGGCCCGCGGCAGATTTCCCCGAACTGATCAGAGACGTGGGAAAGATTAGTCCGATCCTTTCTCCAAAACACATCGACGATATATTGAACGAGAATTCGCTGCATAATGTTTACAGATGTCAGACTCCCGTTTTGAGCGAGAAGTTTCGCGACTTCTCTCAAGATCTCGGGGAACAGAGTTCCCTTAATACAGGTAGTTTGCTCGGCACGAACGCAATCCTCTCCGAGCTCTATTGTCGACCGCCCTGACACATGCGTGTCGACTCTTCGCTTCTAACAGGAAGAGAACTCATACCGTCTCTAAGAACTCTTTCTAAAGAGGAGAAACCCTGAAAAAATCGATCTCGGAGAATAGAAAATTTGCACCGCTGTGGTCACGATGAATCCATGTAATCAAACAGCTACTCCACATTCGTTCGTATATTAGACTTAGGGGGGGGGACTCATAAAACAAGGAGGTGATAGCTGGCATATATTCGTCTTCCAGAACACATCAAGCAATCTAGAGAAGCGCTCACTGATTGAGATTTCGCCCACGAGCTTAGCAGAAGCCGGTCAGATCATTCGAAAATATCGGCTCCCACAACTCGAGATGTTCACGATCACACGTCAAAGAACACAACATGTCTTTACAAATATACAGAATATCACGCAAGTCACGCATCAGGTACTCGTCGTAGTACGACACGATAAATAGTTCTAGGCTCTCAAACTGGACGATAAGCCTTCTTGGCATTCATCACACAAAACAGCGTAACATTGAACTCAGAGAGATCATCTGCCGAGCAGATGACCGCGTCTGGAGCTAATTCGTATGATGGTGAGCGGAACAAATTGGCCTATTATAATACAACAACGGAAGTCCGAACAGCCGCGTTGACGCGTGTTTGGCACACCCATATTCATATGTGACGCACATAGGTTAGCAGGATTGAATTCAGCGCGCCTCCGGAAAATCCCGAAGTGGAGCTCCGAAGGAGTCTTCCGCTCTCGGAGTCTCAAAACATAGCACGTGGTACAAAGCTAATCCACAGCCCCCCATCGGCGCATTTCTTCCCAGGTGCATTTCTGTAGCTCTAATCTCTGTTGGGGCACGAGGAGGAGAAATGTTTTCATAGGGAAACGTGACCCGTCCTCGCAAACTACGACGACCGCGTCATCTACGGCCTCAACCGGCCTGCCGTAGTAACTCTTGTATTCGACCGGCTCGTGCTTTTCCTTCTCGTGACGCTCCGTTTTCGCGATGGATTTGTCCTTGTGGTGTTTCTCAATCTTGACTTTCGACGATGTTTGCAGAATTCCATTCTTAATGGTGAGAATATCTTTCTCTACGGCCCCCTCGCACATTTTGACGTGGTTCTGCAGATTTTTGAATTTCTCTTCACCATGGAAACACCTGAAAGAGAGCAGGCCGTCAGTCGATTCCTGTTCCCCTTCAGCGGGTGTCGGAGGCTGTGGCGCGGAGTCTCCTCATTCGGACCGTATTCGGTATCTATTAGGGGTACATGCTGCTCGAAGCGTTCCTCACCTGTTACAAATATAAATACAGCGGTGCTCTTCTAACATGTGGAGAGCGAGTTCCTCTCTCGTTGAGTATTCTAATCGGAATCCTCTGATGCTACAGACAGCGCAAGCGACCGGTTTCTGCACGATCATTGGGAGCGGCGGTTCCGCAATGCATTCAGACTTCTTTTTCCTCCTTGATATGGAGCTTCGCTTCGGATGATCTTCCGTCGTCGACAAAATACCGTTGGTTTCCTTTTTGCGTTTTTCCAGGACACTTCTCGGGGCGGCACTGTACCGCTTTGATTGCGAAACCGTGACGGGAGGAAAGGTATTCTGCTTGGGAGCAGAGTTCATCGTGGGTGCCATCGCTGTCGTTGTCGATGTCGTCCCCGTCGAGGGACCCAACGCGGGGCAGTCGTGCATGCGGAGCGCCTCGTTGCAGGCGAATACCGCTGAACATTGAGCGCATTGGTGGGGATATTGAGTGAGGATGGTTTCTTCGGACGTCCTTTCCACCTCTGGCGAGCTATGGCTGAGTTCCACGCTGGTTTGGTATACATCATTCGAGTTTCTGAAAGGACGAGTCAAGGAATCTAGATGGGTATCGAATCACTTGGATCGATTCGTCGTATTGCTCCAAATACTCCATAGCCCCCTCACATCAGCGCTGTGGGCGGGACGTACCGAGTGGCGCTCGGATGGAGAACACAAGGTGATTCGAGGTCAGACTCACCTATCCAAAATGTTGATCGGCCAATCGCTATGGAGTTCAACCATATGGAGGAAAGCTTCCTGATCATCAGAGAAAGTCGCTCCGCAATATAAACATGTGAGGTCCTTGAAGTTGTGTATGCTCGAGAAATGCTCGACGAATTCCGTTGCGTCGAGTGTGTGTTTGCAGTAGGCACAACAGAAGTGCTGCGCGTAAGGGTGGCAATCGCGTAGGTGGGAACAGAAGTCAGACCGTCCGAAAGCCCGGAACGAGCAGAGGGAGCACCTGGGGATTCAGGGGAGAACCTTCAGTGTTTCTGATGGGCTCTAGTTGTACGCAGGCTTTACATGCTGCTGCTTTATTCAGGTGAGATTCATATGTCAGGAAACTCTCTTGAGTCGTCTCACCAACCTATAAAGTAAGGTTCTAGCTCTCGGCTTCACATCTGGCATCAGGGCACCTGACATACGCGGACACGCCAAACCTTGCACGACCTAGAGAGTCAAGGTTTTCAGATTTATTCGTTGGACTCTTGGGTCTCTTCGAGGGTCTCATGAAATGAAATTCAACATTGAACCCAGTCTCAGCTTAGGTGTAGGATGCTTGAATCAGAGAAGTACTTTTCGCTGGCTTCAATGATCGTACCTTGCTTGCGTGAACGTTGAGACTATGAATGATGAGGTGGGCTCGAGTGCATCCGCGGTAGAAACAGCGCTTGCATTGAAATCTCCGGTTCCCATGTTGGGAAACCATGTGTTGCGCTAGGTTCTCAATAACAAAAACTCGCTCACAATAAATGCAACAGTCCTGCTCTTCATCTGAGGGAGAGAAGAAAGTTTTTCGGAGAAACCGAATCGGAAGGACCCGTAACGCTCTTCACTAGGGCGGGCATTCGAGCATGTCATGGCGTGTTCGGGTTTCTCTGAGCTTATTGATTCTCACGCAGAACTTACACTCGTTGTGAGTTAATAGATGGCAATAGAAACTTTCTTTGTCCTCGCATGTGAAATCACAGGCTCGTCGGCTACATTTGAAGAATTGTACTATTTTCTCGTCCGAGCACTGAGACGAGAAGGCTTCGAAAGTTTTCCTGGAATTTGAGCGATCGATAATGTCCTCCCGAGGGCTTCCGGCGATTGTCCCGTGAATACAGAGCAAAACTCAACTTACGTGTAACCTTGGGCTTGTCTCAGAGTCTCGTTGCATGATTTAACAGATATGTGAGTCTGAGTGCTCAGCTGACCGACTCCTTCGTGATGGCTCTCCATCGAATCGAAGCTACATGTACACCACTGAAAGACAAGGGGTTCAGGAAATGAATGGAATCTCCGAATGAATTCCGAACGCTCTCGAAATAGCCGTGGATTACCATCAGATTTTCTCAATCGAAATATGGAGTGGTCGCGCTCGAAACGATATAGGCCAGCTGCTCCTCAGAATTTTGATGGATACTCCGGAACTTCTACTCTCTCTTCTGCACTCCTTCCGTCTGGCCAAGAAACTTCCATCGGAAATGCGTCGCGTCGCTAGGTAAACGCGATTCCATCAAGCTCGGAGCCATACGAAAATAATGATTACTCGATCGACAAAAGACAAATCGTCGACCGAATGCTTGATCTTGGGCTGACAACGGAGCGTTTGTTCGGAGCGTTCCGCTCGACGGATCGCTCGTTATCGAAGCTCGGTAAAGAGGAAGCACCAATTTCGTCGGGCTTCCCTGGAGGAAACATAGAATCAAGCTGAGCTTTCATCGACTTGAATTCTTACACATTCTGTCCACTTCCAGCAGCCCGGAACAAGCCGGGGAACTTCAGGGCGGAAAAACTTTCTCCGCAAATCGATCCAATCGCGAATTCAAAGCTCGTTCGGGGAACCTAATCGAAACTCCGGGTCCAGTTGCACGGAATATTACATCCAAGCGTGAGAAAGCAAACACGTTCACCTCCATGTAGAGGTGCACTTATACAGAAATGTTCGACTTTCTCAGAATAAAGACACGGAAATATGACGTCGAAGACACATTCGCGAAATCGGAGAGTCTCTTCGGGAGCTCGGAATTCACGATGCTGTATCACATTCTATGAATACCTGGGATTAAAGAGGGATTTCTCCAACACTGCGCGGGCCCTGACGCCTCGAAATATATGCGCGTAGCTCGCTGTCAGGGGCGTACACGGAGAATATAATCGTGTAGCGAAGCGACTCTGGTCCCAGGACTCTTCCGGGGAGTTCCCGCGAGAACATAGCGAAAGTGCGCTCTGTATGAATCAAAGCAATCCAATTGAGAATTTCTGTCAGCACCAGAGCGTCTTGATTGCTGCCCCCTACGGAGAGCTCACTGATGTCGTCAAATTGCTCGATTATGTGAAGCACGTTTCACCGAACTAGGTCTGAGAAAGCAAGTTTCGGAGAAGCTGTAAATTGCCGCGGGCCCATACCGGGAACGAAGTGAGCCAGCCGTCCTAACTGATTTTCTTTCCTTTCGAATGCCACGAAGATCGCTTTGCGACCACAAGGAACATATTCCGATTCGCTATTTGCGAAACCGGGGAGAGCAGCTGGTAGCGAAAGATGAAGAGATGATCGGGAGCCCGCTATTGGCTGATATCTTCAGGAGAGTGGGTTTCGAAACATCGCTTGGAGCTCTAGTTCGCCAAAGAGATCGCCCGCCTCACACATCTCGAGCACGAAGTTCGTGAGAGGAACTTGAATGGGCTGAATCGTGAACGAATGACTAGAATTTCCTCGTCTCGATATATTTTCCGCTCGAAGGGAACTGACCCAATATTGGACAACAACTTTCCCCTCTCCGGAGGGAAACATGATTCGAATTGGTAGCAGATTGTTACCTTTGGCGGGCAAAAGGTCCCTCCTCCATGCAGAAAAATAGCTTCAAACTTGACACAGCTTAGCCACCGTTGCACATTGAAAGATTGGGGGAGGCAACAAGCTGTTGCAGATTCCTTCCACAACAAACAAACGAACTCGTTTCGAGTCAGCGGGTCACCATCGCCAGCAAGACGACGGCGAGCGGCTCGAACCAAACCAGATGGTGGTAAGCGTGACGGTGGTAAGAGAATAGGTAAGAGTCCCCGTCGTTCCGGGAGGGAGGGTAGCGCGCCAAGCTTCGAATCGAGCGATGCCACACCGCACAAGTATCGGTTGTATCTCCGTTTCGTAGCTCTGAGAATCTCAACGAAGATTCGGGAGATGTTCGGACGATGAAACCCTGTAAGCGTAGTCTTCAGAGCTGTGTCGATCATTTCAGTGATGGCACGGTTGTGTCAAATAGCGAATTTATATCATCTTCTGATCGAGATAATCCTAGAACACTTGAGCGAGAAATCGCAGCTTGTTGGTTACGAGTTCAAGGGAGAACACGAGGACGGATAACGCGCTGGTGGCGGCAAATGTCTTGAAAACAGAGTCGAAATCGAGGAGCCGAGACGGTCTGAACCTATTGGGCGCGCTGGCGGAATTCGACGTGAGGCAGAGAATGGGATTCATGATCTTTTTCGGCACGAATCGAACATCCATTGAGAGAACCCGAAGTATTCTGAAAGGAGTCGCCGTATCGCTCTCAAAGAATCCACGCGTGGCTCTCGTAGAACTATGTCTCCTGCTTTCTTTAGAAGCCGGAAAATGATATTCCGCTATATTCAGTACGTCAGAAGAACGAACTTCATATCCAAGGCGGATTCCAAGTCTCGACCCAGAGACTTCGACAACGCCCAGATCGCCGTGAGCTCTGCCAAGTTCTCGCTACTGATGTGGAAGAAATTATCGGCTTTGAGGCACCACCTATTGATCGCGGGCAAGATCGTTAGTTTCTCCATGAAGATCACGCCTTTCTTAGCCACGATTCTCTCGAGGAGCTCGTCGGTCAGGAGGCTTGTTAGGCTGCTTCCTTCGGAATTGGCCGCAATATGTTGCCGAAGCCTATCGCCCCGCTCTCCGACCAGATTCTGCAAAGAATACTACGCTGACGGCTTACCGGTTCAAGGAATATTACCTACGGCATAGAGAAACTTGCTAAATAGTCAACGAACTTTCATACGGCTCTCCAGGGGTGAGTTCTTGGCGTAGTAGATTGTCAGGTGGGGTCGAGCTACGAGATCCTCCACCGTGTCTATCCTCTCGGTGGGGGACCTGACGATCAAATTGGCTCGACATTGACTGGCGAAAGAGTGGCCGAATATCAGAGAGAAGAGAAACCATACCGCGGCGAGTAGTCTGGCGAAAGGACCTCTGAACTTGCTCTTCGATGCTGGAATCAAGGAGCGTTAGGCTCATTCGTACGCATCCCGCATCAGCTAGCATGCTGGATATCGTTGTTCATCGTGATCTCGAGCTCGAGGACCTTCCTGTAGAAGAGCCTGAAAGAGTTCGAAACAGAAACGGAAAACTCGCTTCCACTTCAGTTTTCGATCCTGCACCAAATATTCTCGGAAAGCCATCAGGCCTGACATCGCCGCGAAGGAAACGAGCAGTCCAAGCCACACCTAGAAAAATATTGTACATGCATATGTGGGCTCCTCGCTCTCGGAACAATTAGAGGGGAGCCTTCAGCTCTGGGTAGCTACAGCCTATGCCCCTCATGGTTGGGTCAAGTCGGATGATGCCCCAATAGCGCTTCGAATGTAGCAAAACTCACTTCCGAGGCGAAAGAGTTCGTGAAACTTTGCGCCTTGTTCACGAATGCAGTTTCCATACCGCTGAGCATGACCATCACCGTACTCATTATTGATGGAGGCACGTAGAAGTGCTGAAATATTTCCTCGCTGGACGAGAAAGGACCAGCGGCAATGTCCGCAGAGCCATCTCGTACCATACCGAGCATGCCATTGAAGCTCCCATTCGGTAAAGCCATGCCGTATTGGCCATCTCTCGGAGGGAATACAACGTACCTGGAGGAATCATGCGCTCATCATCGCACTCCCCATGAGCAGGGAGCAAAATAATAGGACCACATCTGAGCTCCTATTCCATATTCACGTTAAATTGAGAGAGGCCATGATGCTTGTCATCATGCTGCCGAAGACTCCACCTAATCGCTGGCGACCCTGGCCATCGGGGAGACGGACGTACCACGGCGCGAACTGCGAGAGAGGGAAAAGTGCTGAGGAACGGAGATTTCGGATCGATTAGCTGCCTGTCGGAGCTTCTGAGTCAACTCGAGGTATCCCCTTCGTCAGATTCGGGGGAAAGGTATTTCTTACATGGAGGCTAGCGATTCGCAAGCATCGTCCTTTGCCATCGAAACGCATGATGACGCTCCGAGAGAGTATGATCGCGAAAGTGGGCAGGTGCGTGTCTTAAAGGGTGTTCATCATAGCGAGGGTCGTTAAGTATATTCAATATTCATGACTCCCGGGCGATCGAGTTTTCCGCCATGATTCGAGACGGATTCTCCGTTCATTAAACGAGCTAATCACAGTCCCGGATCTGTTCGCTGCTCGAAGACCATCGCCGATGTCGGATCGAATATCATCCTGCCCCCGGAGGTACCTCGCTTCTCCTAATGCGTGATAATTGGATCGATGCTGCTCAAACATGAGGATATCGATTGGTCCTGCCGCCCATGCGATAAGTCATGATAAGGACGATCATTCTATATTTCTGTGGACCCGTGGCGGTATAGTGAGCTCGGAACTCCCCATAGAGCCCGCTTTGCTTCGCAGCTTGCAGAATCGTACTCAATCCCAGCTGGCCTTCCCCACATTGGGTACATATGGCTCATTTCATTAACTTATTTTTCCGCGAGTCGACCGTGCACCTGTTACGCGGGTCTCGGCACACTTTTGATCGGCGTGTGCCTGAATTAGTTCAGGCTCATAATTTCCCGATCGCTTTGCAATCTGAGCTATTACAGAATACCGAGACTCGCATGCACCCTTCTCACTAACATGAGTAGCGGCCAGATATTCTGCACCTTCGCAGAGTGCGGCCGCCCCCACCCCTCTGCAAGGGGCTAGGGGCTCTTCTTGATTTCAGCGAGATTTCCAAGGAACTTAGGTATGAACGATTTCTTCGGAGAGCTGACCGTCGTGTCCGGTCTCACGAAAACCTCGCGAACGAGGTGTCATTTCGCTCCAAACAATAGTCGTCGCTGGTTCAGTGCATGGCTTTGACCGCCGCACCGCCCCGCTCTCTATACGTGGGAGTGCTGAACCATCGCCGCGACTTGAATGGAGGACATAAAGCGAGCAAATTCAGAACACGATTAGTGATGAAATTGTTTCAGCGACTCCATGTGTCGACCCGCTCGGTTGCCAGCAGCCAAGCTGCTCAGTGCTGTCAACATGAGCCGTAAATATCTCCCTTGACTTCTCGGAATGGGTCTGTCAGAACTCTCGAGGAGCAGAGATTCAGTCTCCGGTGCTACTCAATTTTGGGAGTCTCGAGCTGTCCAAATCCATTCCGCTGGATGACTTTCGGTCGGGATACGCCCCGTCCCTGGTTCTCGGTCGAAACTCCTCGATTTCTTCAAAAGCCACAGGGGGACTGTGCTGTCAGATCATCCCGCTGACCCATTACGGCTGGGGCCGAAATAAGCCGGGACCGACGACTTGCTCATCCCTCACGACATCCGGGCAATATCGATACAAATTCAAGACTCAAGAGCAACGAACTTCCCGCCTCGGGTGCTGAACGCGGAATCCGCATCTACAGGGCATTCTCAAAGCTCGCGCTTTGTTGATGGCCTGGCAATCCGTGGACGGCGACGAGTCCCTCCAATCCCTTCCAACCCACGACCCAATCCTTCAGACCCAGCAGGATGAGCGAGCGGAATGCTTGCAGTCTTTAGCTATCCGCAATTTGCCGCTGACTCTGACCTCCCTCTTGAATTTCTGCTCGAATCCTACGCATCTCGTCGCTTGGTGTACTGCACCAAGGCTCAGCGGGAAAAAAAATCATCCACAGCTCCGGTTCCCCTACGCTGGAGAGACACAGCGTGCCTGGTCAAGTTCATTCGATTTCTGAGGCTGAAGAGGGTCCGCGTCGGAGCTGCGTCCACCTCGGCTCCTCGTGTAGGTGATTTCGTCCGGCCGGCACGACCAAGGCTTTCCCGCCAATGAATCGTAAAAAGTGAGATCACTTCATCATTCACTTTGTAAATACAGTCAATGTGCTGCTGAAGCGGCGGCGCGTCTCCAACAAGTATACGAAAAGGCCTTACCCCAGCACCGTGTCAAATCTTGAGTCCAGCAGAGAGGAAATCGTCAGACGCAATGGGAGTTCCAGCATTCTTCCGCTGGCTGTCCAGAAAATTCCCAAATATTATAGTGCACTGCGTCGAAGAGAGAGGCCACACGGTCGACGGCAACCAGAGAGTCAACATCGACACAAGTAAACCGAATCCAAATAATGTGGAGTTCGACAACTTATACCTCGACATGAATGGTACGAAGGTCGAATTCCCATCTCTTCGAATATTTACGCTGGAGGATTTCCAGCTGAAGTTTGAGATTAATTCTTGGGTGTTCGCTTTCTAACTGGGTTCCCCATTACCATGACCGAACTGCAGGTATCATTCATCCGTGCTGCCATCCAGAGAACAAGCCGGCTCCGAAAAATGAAGACGAAATGATGGTCGCGATTTTTGAATATATCGACCGTATTTTCAGCATCATAAGACCACGGAGATTGCTCTACATGGCTATTGACGGCGTTGCTCCCCGCGCGAAAATGAACCAGCAGAGGAGTAGGAGGTCAGTACTCAGTAGATTCAGGCCCTGGAAGGGGTCTTTTCAGATTCCCACCGTCTAACGCGCATACCCCGTCCTACAGATTCCGCGCGTCGAAGGAAGCCGCTGAGAAAGCAGCAACCATAAGTCGACTCCGACGAGAACTCCAGTCGAAAGGATTCCATCTACCCCCCGAGAAAGCTCCCGAGGACCATTTCGATACAAATTGTATCACTCCCGGAACGCCATTCATGGATCGACTGGCGAAATGTCTCCATTACTACATTCACGATAGGCTGAACAATGATCCCGGCTGGCAAAACATCGAGGTGAAAGAAGCTGTGATTCGAATACGGGAAACATGATCCGAGCGATTCGATCCCTTCCGACTTCGAGTTGCAAGAGCACGCTTCGAGCCAGAATGATTCCTCAGGTGATATTATCCGACGCAAACGTTCCGGGAGAAGGGGAACATAAGATCATGGATTTTATTCGCAAACAGCGCGCGAGTCCGAGCCATGATCCGAACACGAGGCATTGTCTCTGTGGAGCGGATGCCGATCTCATCATGTTGGGTTTGGCCACACATGAGCCCAATTTTACGATTATCAGGTTGGTCCTCGGATACAAGCGAACGCTAAGCGATTAGGAGTTTCGGATGATTCCCTCTGAATCCTGCTAAAGAGACTTTGTTCACCAGGGAAGAATTCAAACCGAATCAGCCACGCCCGTGTGAGCTCTGCGGTCAGATAGGGCACGAGATGAAAGACTGTATGGGTCTTCCGAAGGATATTGCCTCGCAAACCAAAATAGAGAAACCCTTGGGCGCTGAGACCGAATTCATCTTCATAAGGCGAGTTGCCTGACTCTGCAGTGGACTGATTTACAGTACTGTTCGTAAGCGTGCCCGCCACCTGTATCGAAACGAATGAGCTCTCCCTTACAGGTTGAATGTTCTGAAAGAGTATTTGACAAAAGAATTGTGGATAGAAGGGTTGCCCTTCAAGTGGTCGATCGAGAGGGCTATCGACGATTGGGTGTTCCTCTGTTTCTTCGTCGGAAACGACTTTCTACCTCATCTACCATCCCTAGAGATCAGGGAAGGCGCCATAGACCGCCTTGTTCGTATTTACAAGGAGACCATCCATGTCAAGAAGGACTATCTAACTAAGGCGAGTGTTTTAAACTGTTCATATCGGTAACGCTCCTGACACGGGGGCTCGCTTGGAAAACGGAAGTGAAGGAATGATCTCCAAATTTCACGGAGCCTTCGCCACGACTTGCAGAACGGCTTCGCTCAGATGGATCACTGTGCCATGATTCTGACGAAACTCGGCCAGGCAGAAGACGAAATTTTCCGCCAGCGACAGATTGACGAAGAGAAATTCAAACGTCGACAGAAAGTAGGTTTTGTCCTGCTTCTCTTCAAACAATAGCGAGGCTCCTCGTCAACTGAGGGGGAGAGTGATTCTGAATGAAATCTGAATTTCCCCGTGCAGGAACGGAAAGCGATGCAGAGACAGGAGCACGCTCAGCCGGCCTATCATATGGCAGGCCAATTAGGTCCAACCGATGTCCGCTCTGGAGGAATGGCTATCTCAGGTGCTAGGTGAGTCTAGATGTACGCCTCTCACACTGAGTTCATCTGGAAGAATTGACTCCGTTTCCGCGTGGGACTCAAGGCTGCTCACAATTGATTACAGGGATGAAGTTCTGAGCCAACGCAGAAGTGCAATGGATTTCTCTAGAGGGTTACATGGGGGGCCGGGCATCGAAGCCATGCTGGAACCGGAAGGCGGTGCTCAGGGGCAACCAGCGAAACGGAAGGCGGAAGATTTAGATGAGGAGCCAGAAGACGAAGTTCGCTTGTGGGAAGTCGGATGGAAAGAACGCTACTACGAGAGCAAGTTTGAAGTTTCACCCGAGAATCAATCATTCCGACACGAAGTCGCTGCGGCATACGCCGAAGGGCTATGCTGGGTCCTTCATTACTACTACCAAGGATGTGCATCTTGGAAATGGTTCTTTCCGTATCATTACGCGCCGTTTGCTTCGGATTTCTCGGAGATCGGCACCCTGAAAATAAGCTTCGAAAAGAACACGAAACCCTTCAACCCCATGGAGCAACTGATGAGTGTATTCCCAGCTGCCAGCCGACAACATCTCCCGGAGCCATGGGGGGACCTGATGGAGGACCCCGAGAGTCCGATCATCGATTTCTACCCCATCGATTTCAGAATCGACCTCAATGGCAAGAAAGCCGCCTGGATGGGCGTAGCGCTCTTACCCTTCGTCGATGAGAAACGTCTGCTAGAAACAGTGGCTACCGTTTACGATCGATTGACACCGGAGGAGAAGCGGAGAAATTCGCGCGGAGACAGTTATATTTTCATCCGGAAAAACCATCCCGGGTATCCGTTCCTGCGCGGACTGTATGAGAATAAATCTCAAAGGAAGTTGAATGATGAGAACGTTCAACCCATCGATCCCGAGAGCTTCTTCGGAATGGCAGGAAATGCTCTGACTACGGATAAGGTGAGCGAATTCGAAGATTATCTCCCGGCCCCCCACCGAAGCGAGAATGAAACGTCTCAATATTTTCTGATTTCGACAGATGGTGCCTGAGAAAGAGAAAGTATTGAGTCCCGTGAAGGGATGTCAGCCTTGCCCGAACAATATGGTCGTGGTGACCCGGTGGCGGGATCCCATCTTCGAGCCGGACTTCATCTATCCCGCGACAAAGCTGCCCGGGGCGATAGAGCCTGAAAAGGTTCTTAGGCCCGAGGATCTCGTCGGAGATCAAAGTCGACAATGGAGACCCCAAGTTGGAATGGCGAGGAATACGCAGAGAGCCTCTTTGGGGGCCAGCGGTCACCGGATGATCAATCACCATGCGGCAATTCCACCGCCGAGTCACGGTGGCTGGCAGCGAGGCTGTGCTCCTCAACGTGGAAACTTCAACCAAGGCTATCAGAGAGACTCGTACGGGCAAGGTTATGACGGTTATAATAACTACAGCACCCATAGCAACCCGCAGAGATCTTATCAAGATAGAGGCAGATATGGACAGCAGTACGACAGATCCTCATACGGATCCTCGAATAGGAACTCTTACAATGCTCCACCTGAGAGGAACTCCTACGGAAGTGCCGGCGGTGGTTCCTATGGATCTTCTCGCGGTAGAGGTTCATACGGACCGCCGGGGGATAGACCAGCGCCTGGTCCTCGTTTGGGGTACGGACCTCCGAGAGGAGGAGCTCGTGGTGCCGGTGGCGGAGGGGGGAACTACTATAGGAGAGACTGCTACTAGGATGTAGCAGGGGTTATCTAATTGCTCAATGAGATGACTCAGTACTTGACAACTCAAAATTGTTCAATCGAATGTGTAAATTAACAAAATTGAAGTTTCTGACATTCCGACTGTGTTTGCCCCATACATAGATCAGACTTAACCAAGAATAATTAAGAATAAGAAGGAGCGGCGCGGCGTGCACACCGATAACGCACTTGGAGAAAACTCCCAACGCTATAGAATAAGGATGTACCTAGATGTCTTTTTCGATGATTGAAATTTGATATTATTCTCCAACAATTCTAGTTGTGGGCTGCGCGGAGTCACCTCTGAAGGAACTTCGAGCACAGAGTGCCTATCTCATCCAAGAGTACTTTCATAAATCCGACGCTATGAGCTCGTCCAACTTTGGAATGTATCGCGAGGTGTGGCTTGGTTCTTTCATCCCGTAGAATATCATCCGATGACGGTGCCCTCGTCATCACGCGAAACCAGGGGGCTCACGGAGACTAATAGACGCAGGGAGAACATTCCACAGGCTTTTGAGTGAGTATCGATCCCGGGGAACGATCATTTATTTGAATCCTCTCTCTTTCGGGAACATCCCCAATGTCGGAGGCTTCTGACCAGAGGGCGGTGTGGTGCCCACGGACCATCGCTACCGGTGATTCCGGGCCTAGGATTCATCGATGGTTCGGATTCGGATGCCATCTTGCCCCCATAGCTGCTTATGTTCGTCATATGATGGCACAACAACGAAGAGCTGACCCCGATGTAACTCGAGCCAATGACAGCGTGATGAGTGATGAGGGTCCTTTCGATGACGCTGCTCTTGTCAGGAGGGACTAAGAAAATGAGGCGCTGGACAGATCTTCATCGACTCTGGAGGATTGAGTCGCCCGATCCAGTTGAGCGCAATCAACTCTCCTTGGTGTTCCTTGCATGCGAAGCGCATCTCGCGAAGGCCCAGTGAAGATATGCTCCCAATAACCTCGCTGGCGCGATCAGGGCAACTTCCGATGTTAGTCTCCATATGGATCCTGCGGGCCACAAACCTGAGGCGGCAGTACATATGAATTGGCCGTCGAGACCGAAAGAAGAGCAGATTCTGAAAACAGCGATCCATATCACACCACGCTCAGGAAAACTCGATCCGGAGGAAAGCTCCATCAGCCACCGTTAGCGACGCAGTGAACTCTCACCTCTTTTTCGATATGTCGTTCAAAATTCCGCCAGCCACAGCTTTCGGTTTGTGTAGTCCGCCCATCTGAGATATCGCCACAGTTTCTTCGGGTTTCCCCAAATTCTCGTTCGCGAACCCAGCGGTATCGGTATCTGGCGGGAAGGCTACCATAACGTGCAGGCCTGTGATGAACAATTATTATTGAATCATAGTTGGGTGAGGTATAACCGGCCCCGATCGGAGATCGCGCGCCAGTAGGCCGGACGCGGGTCCCCAGGCGCGATCTAATGAGGCCGTATATGATGAATCGAGTAACTGATTTCCGGGAGATGCTCACCTAAGTGTTCTTTCTCAGCTTTCAATGTTTGGGCGAATCCAACCAGAGCGAACTTCGAGGGTGAATACGCGCTATAGCCAAATATCCCCATCAGACCAGCCACAGAGGAGGTGAAGACAACTGATGCTGATCCCGTTTCCTTACAGCGGTTTTCGAGACTCTTGAGCAGAGCCTGTGAATTGGATCCGCCCACTGAGCCCCCAACTTTGCATTCGTTCACGATTATTTTCAGGACCTTTTATTCAGATGCTTTGCGCAAGCATATCAGGTCCAACCGAAAATTCACAGGAAATCACCTTGGTCAAATTAACGGCGCTGAAGAAGTTTACATCCATCATCTGATGGAACATTTCTTCCGTTGTCTCTTCAATGTAGCGGGACACCGCGCTGCCCGCGCAGTTGACCAAGATGTCGACGTCTCCTATAAACAATCGAGGTTCGACGACTCGAACAGCTTACTCTGCCTACCTTGGAGGAGAAATTTCACTCACCATGCTCCTCCAGAGCTGGTCTGAGTTTCTCCTGTATCGACGATATACTGGACGAGAGATCTACGGAGACATAGCTGAAAACAGAGTATAAACCTCAATGCCATTCCTGGGAACTGAAACTTATGGTCAGTGTCGACCGCGACTTTGTGTTGCTTTGCAAAGCATGCGGTGAAACTCACGAGGCTTCCGAAGTTTCCAAGCTGGCGACCGCATCTTTCAGTCTGTCCTCATTCCTCGCGATGATCGTGACCTTCGCACCGTCCTTGGCGGCTAAACGGGCGAGCTCTAGTCCGATTCCAGACGATCCGCCTGCGACAGCCAAGAGGACCGTTTCTGATCGTGCCCCAAGAAGGCATGGACTCCTGCCGTGATTTCCCCGTCGAAACGAATCATCGAGGGGATATGATCGACTCTTCGTGATGCGCACTCACCCGAAATGATCATGTGTTTACCACGGAAGGCGTCTTTGGATTTTCGATGCATGAGAAGGGATGTGATGAACACTCCGCTCAAAAGCGAAGCAATGAAAATCAAGATCATCGTTCGCTCTCCAAGAGGGGCTCTCCCTTTTCCCCGAAGTTAGCCTAGAACAGAGATTCTGACTGCATTAGACTATCCTAGACAATCACGAGTCCGGGAGCAAAACCCGGAAGCTTCGCGGGCGGAGACGAAGGCGCAGAGGAATCTTCGCGACATTATACCCAATGACGGAGACGAGCACTCTTGCTTGAAGAGAGTACTAGGTGCTATGAGACGACCACCTCCACAGTCGAATAACCATGAAAGATCTCTCGGATTTCGATTTCTCGCAAAGACTATTGACTCAGCTCTAGCCGCACAAGGACCCGGCTTTATGGGTCCGACGAGATTGAATCGCTTATCTCTGGAGCTCCGAGAAGGCACTTCGCTCCGGGACGCATCCCGCCAGAAATCGCGGAGATCCCTGGGTGGGAAATCCGGAGGCGTGCACGCATCCCCTGCAGACCTATCGGCACCACCATCCAGTCAGGAACCGATGAAACTCTCTACTCCGTGAGCTTGGAGTACCAATCGTACCAGCGCCCGGAGCTGTCATCTCTCCAGAGCTCTGCGAGGCGAGGGAGGGAATGATTGGTCGGTATGGTACAGATTTTGCAAGGTCGGCAAGAACGGTCAAAGTCGTAGATAATGCGGATCAGACCATAGTGGTAGGTATTCATGAACCAAAACACGGTTGTGGTGCTCTGCGCGAATGGACAAGTCTACGAAAGACATCCTATGGACATCGTAGCACGGTGGAAACGCGAAGAAACGAGTCCTCCGGAGATAGGGAAGTAGCGAAAGAAGGGACAGAAAAATGATACTGTTGATTCCGGCATTCTCCGGAGATTACTTCCAAGACCGCAGACACGTTTCCCTCGCAGCTTCGGTTAATACGCTCCGGATCCACGGATAAGTTCTCGGAGAGAGCTGAATTCAACTGAAGAAAGTGAGCAGAACCTCGGACGCCTGGGGCAGCCGCATTCACCAGTCTATCCTATGGGGATGGCAGCGATGGGAAGCTTTAAGAAACCATGGGAAATCGAGGAAACTCACACCTTCACGGCACCCAAATCTTGAGCGCACTTTTCCTTCCTTGTCTCTCTTTGACAGTGGATCCGTTCAACTTCCGTCAGAAGAAAAGGACCTTCGGTTCTCGTGTGAGTAAGTACTAGTCGTGCAAAGGGCTTCTCTCCTTGATCTAGATTATTCTAGATCATTGGTCCCGTGCCGCAGGAGTGACTCTTGGAGCGAGATCCGTCTCTGAATCAACCTCTTCGGGATAGATACCGGTAGGCGTCGTCTGCTACAGAAGGCCGGCGCTTTCGAATTTCACGCGGTCTGGTAGAGCTTCAATTTCTCATCCACGACTCGGACTTGCTCAGGGACGGTTCGACGAAATTGCCGCGTTCGTTCGCCCTGTTCCTCCGGTGTTCGGTGTTCTCGTTCGAGGCTGGGGCAAAGTTCCCGAGGGTCTTATCTCAAATACGCTGGAACCATTGACTGATACACTGCTCTATCGGCGAGGGAACTCTCCATAGATTCCGCTCGCCGGTGCTTCCAGAGTTCTAGACAATAAGGAACCCGCTTCGCGTCTCGCGGGAATGAAGGCAACACGGAAATTAGGTGAAGCAAGTCCATAGATAGTAGGAGAAGCTCATTTATCGGATTCCCATCCGGATCCGGAGGTTCGAAGTCTGTGACCTCGGCTCAGTGAAAGAGCTTTGATCCTCTCGAGATGAACATGCGGCTCCGAACCTCAAAGCAGTGACATCGATTTTCTTTACGGGATGCTCGATGATTGTTCGAGAAGATTTCCTGGGGGGGGAGGGGGGGGGGGCGATAGATAGCCGCACTCTGACATCGAGATCGCTGGGCTCAACGATGTCATGACAAGCGAATGAGGTGACCGAAATAACAGGACCTGAGATCAGAGAACCGGCCCATCGGGCGGCTGCTGATCCACCGCGATCTGGTACTCTCGATTGCGGATCTCGGTCTTCCATCAAGACATCGCTCGCGCGGCTGGCAATATGCCAACGGCGACGGCTGGCAATGTTGTGTCGGAGATGCTCGAGGGGATCCAATGACCTGGTTTCGAATCGAGCGTTGCTACGATCGGTTGTCAGCGGGAAACATTTGGACAATCGAGAGCCAGAATAATAATGAGCGGAGAGATTTGTTCCTATAGTTCTCCCCTCAACAACGTTGAGCCGAAGTTCGGAAATTGTCCTTGCGGGCATCCTGAGGAGAGATCATATCGATGTGTGAATAACGAAGGTCACGCTTGGGAATTATACTCCTGGAAGCTTTATCTGATGACCCGAGAAATATGTTAGGGAGGACCTCAAGAACTCCGAGCCGGATATACACTTCGCAAGATGACGAGAGCGTGTCAAGAAGCTATAGCAATATACCTACAATACGAGACTCTAGCTATCCGAGATGTCGCGATCGGGGCACATTCCGCTCGGGAAAATGTGGTATCCTGCATGGCATATTGAAACTCCTCAGGGCAGGCTATTTGCTTGGCCTTATTGGCCTTATTTGGAATGTCTTAGCCCTGATACTTTCCGATCGAGCAACGGGATGCGCTCTCCGTCGGAAAATACTCCGAGTGAACGAGATGAGTAAGTCTCTTGCTCCCTTTAGCGGCATTCGTCCTGAGAAAATTCAGTCCTTGAATCATTGAACTTCTCCGTTTTTTTCTGTAAGCTTCTCGACTGATGTCGTGAATACCTTACGACCCACGTGATGAATACGGAGGGGAACGATATCCGATATCGTGGAGAGCTGCCATTATCTCGCATCTTCTCCCGCTCGGAAATAGTCATGAAGAACCTCCGAGCTTCTTCCGTTAGGTGAGACGGAGGCAATGGATATGTATCTGGACGTTTTGCTTCTGATTGTGCGAAAGGATATCTGGCGTACGCTAGACGGAATGGAGGCTTCAGCGTTCCAGGAACAGCTGCGTTCCTTGACTCTGCACCGACAGCGGACTACTATGGGCGACTCTCGAGCAGGGGGTTTGTGTAGGCTCGAGTAGAGCGTCACGGCTATCTCCAGTCACGATTTCGACCTTCGGAGGTCAATGTCATTATAACCAAAATCTGTATGCTCTTACGCTTCGAACTTCTGGGGTCTCTATTTTCTAGTGAAGAGAGTGGAGGTGGAATTGTACGCGAGCGCTCTAAGCTTCAGTTCCGTCTTCGAAGACTTGGGAAATCCGAGCGATGGGGAAGTAGACTACATCATCGACAGTGACCTACTGATTGACTTGAGTTTCGAGATTTTCGTGGAAGCAGAGGAGCCCAAGATCTCGAACCTCCGTGTGAGTTTCCACTCATGGATTTCCTAATTTCAATCTGGCATGTCTCCGAGAATCATCGTGTCGGTCCAGAGTGATTCTGGCTCGATTAATATTCTTGATTGAAAGTCCATTACGAAAGTCCTGAGCTAGCCCCGACCCCTTGACGTCTCATTCATCGAGTCCTGTTCTCAACCGTCAGATCGAACCCCAGGGGTATACCCCAGAGGTGATGCTCCTCGGGTGTCCGAAGGATCCCGAAAAAAAGGTGGAAGCGATTCTGCTCTCCACATTCAATTCGACGCTCGAGACGTACCTCAAGCGAGCTTTCAGTTCCCATTTTATGCGACGTTTTGAAACATTTTTCGACCTGTGGGTGCGCAATTGAAAAATCAGCTCGAATAAAACTGCTTTTTGCATCGGCATCCTCTACGGGGCCTGGGTGTCATCTTTGACACCGCCAACTCATCATTCGGAAGAGAACGCCCTCGAGCCTAATTGTCGTGCTAGTTCAGATTTGCTTGCCGAATCATGATTCCTTACCTTTCCGTGGAGGTGAGAAATTGATCTGTTTAAATTTCAAGGCATCTTTTTCTTTCGCTTGCGCAGCCGATAATGGTTGAGCGCGAGGACAATGGCTGCTGCATCGCGATTTTGAGGAGACGAATGACGAGTCGCGATATCCATGTATCTATCTGAGAAGAAGGGAGGGGTAGAGGAGTTTCGAGCCGTGCTTCGAAAATTCAAGAAGTCTAAGGAAACAGAGGGTGACTGACGATGAGTAGCCTGCAGTCCAGCCAGCTACATGAATCACGGTCAATCTCAGAGAGTCAAACGATACGCTCGCAGCAACGTCTCCATCCGCTTCAACAACCGAATCTTCGATCGAGTCACTTTTGTCAAGACGAAGGGGACCACGCACTCACGCTGCGAGTCAAGTGCCTCTGAGAGCTAAACGAGGAGTCGGAAGTAGTGCGAAACAACTGCTGTAGGAATAAGACGACTCTAGGAATGATATCGCGCAGCCAGTCGAAGTCAAGCTTCCCTTCTTTGAGGTAAACATGACAACATGTCTAACTCGGAAACCTGCGGAGAACCGAAGGCTACCCGCCGAAGGCAACCTTGTAAGATTTTTTTGCGGTCAGGAATGCCGCGACCAGGTCCGGCGACCACCCGGATGACCGAATCCTCATGGCTCCTACAACGTTCGTTAGCGAATTTCTTACGCGCCATCCAGCATATTCCTCGAACGATCATGTCGAGGAGCGAAGTCTGATCAAACAGATCCGTACCATGGACCAGGGATAACGGCGAACGAGCATGTGAGAAAATTGAGGGAGCAGTCCCACACAATACGGGGGACCGTGATTGGGTCAAACAGCTTCATTTCTCCGTACGGTAGACGCTCCCCGGAGAAGCGCACATCATCATCATCATCGTGGATCGTCCCTGCTAGAAAACGAAGAACTCTGTCTCGAGGGGAACAGTGAACCCATTACCACCTCCCTGGTATTCCGGACCCGGATACGACAGGCGCCAGGCCGATTGCTCGGTCCTGGCCGAGTCTATGGGATCTCCCAAGTCGAGTGACTCGGCTACAGCGAACCAATTGACGAAACCTCAGGTACAGCGGACTGATTTTTCGGCTCCGGTCGCATCTGGTTCTGTGTCAACTATCTCGATTAAAACGGACCCGTTCTCGCGAGAATAGAGTGATATCTTCTTCAAAATCATTTCTGATAGAGAAGCGACTCGTATGGGCATTCAGGTTGCTCTTCTGATTTACTGAGAGCCTCTTGACGACCATTTTCGGACATGGCGGACCTCGAGTGTAAGGGACCCTTTTGAAAGCTCCCCCGGAGTCGATACATCGGGGCTTGACTGCAACTTACGCGGAGTCGTCGTTGCGCTCCGAGAAAGGGGAGAATTCGGTCTTGATCAGCAGTTCACATGACTGCATGTTTATTCGTCTTTTCGAAGCGGAACGCAGCCGTCTCACTTACTGCTTGTAAACATAGCCTGGGGCTTGTGGGTAACCAGCTTGGTAAGTTGGTCCTGCTGAAGGATACGAGTCAGCCGGTTGGATGCCCACGACCGTGGTGTAGGTTGCTTCGACTTTCGTTTCAACAATTTGGGTACCCGAAGTCTTGCCGTAGTCGCTTCCATAACCAGTCTTGCCGTCATAGCCCTTTGAATAAGTACTTTTAGCAGTCACGATCGGTATCGTGATGGGCATGCTGTACGACACAGCGATCGATGGGTTCTTGGAGCCGTACGAATCTGGATGGAAAGAGTCTGCATGTGAATGTGCGGGGGCAAAAGGTGTTCCTTCGACGAACGATTGCCATGCGATTGATGAAAGTCTGACAAGGAGCATTGAAGTTGTGGGAAGGTACATACCTGCTCTGAGAGAACCTTTCTGCTGCTTGGTCTATGGGATCTGAACTGAAAACTTCGAGCTTCCGAAGGCGTTCGTCGCTCGTCAAAGGACACCGAAGGCCGATTCTCGACCAGCATTCCATATGAACTCATCGAAAGAACACAACATGCGCGTAAGATGTACTCAAAACTTTATTAGTAACTACCTGAGTAGGGGGCCGGCGGAGCATAGGAATCATAGGCAGGGGGCGGAGCGGGGTATGCAGGGGCGGGGTATGCAGGAGCGGGGTACGCATCATAGGCAGGTGCCGGGGGAGGTGCAGGGTATG